TCCTTGGTACGATACCTGTCACAGAGCAAGACCCTGTGGAAGTTTAGCCTACAGTGACTGCTGTTAGTTTAGAATCAGGAAACCTTGCCTCTCTGCTGACAGTTGTTATATGACCATCTTTTTACCACATAGCGAAACTTTTGCAGCCTGTTTCACCTCTTGTCCTCATCTCCTAAGAAGCTCAGACACAACAAATATGTTTGCTGGAGTTTAAAGTCTTCTGATTTTTCTTATCCTCTAAAGTTTTTAGATCATGGCCTTGTCTGCTAAGAATCCAAACGTCCTGATTGGAAGGAGGTAAGGCATAAGTTATAAATGGCTGAAGGTTGACCTCAAGGTCAACATCTCCTGCGCTCATATCAGGAGTGGAGCACTCCAAGAGAAAGGGGATAACGAGAAGCTGAAATCCTAGGACAGTTAGCCATCCAGGAGCCAAGCAGATTGTCTGTCCAAGGATGGGCTTGATAATTACAGTTCTCTTTTCTAGCTGCCAGTGGCCTGTTACAATTGGCACAGGGCTTAGTTGGGGCAGCAGAATTCCTCCTGGGTGTCAGATACTATAGAATAGTGGTTAAACTTCACTTCCTGCCATTAAGAATTCCCTTTCTCTACCCGATGTGCTTTTCTGTTACTGCTTTGTGAACTTGTAGAGATACGGCATTTCACACAGAATCAGAGAGTTTTACAGCTGAAAGAGACTTGAAATTGTCCTGTCCAACCCTTCCCTTTTTACAGATGAGAGGCCTAGGGCTGGGAGAGGGTAAGCAGTGACGTAATTGAGGTCTCCTGGATTACAAACTAAGAAATAGTATCTCCTGATTCCAAATGTTACAGCCCGTTCCCAGGACCCCCTGCATCCACCAGGAGTCCAGAACTCCTTTCTGCTCTTTTAGATAATGGGTTTCATCATAATTTGGGGGCCTTCCTTACACTAAATCCTGCCTTACAGTAGATGTATTTCCCCAGATGGTATTCAAACCTGTATCCTAAGCTCACACTTCAATTTAGAGATTAACCAAATAGTAATAATAACCACAGAAGCCTGACTTAATCAGCACTATTAAAGCAAGCAATTTTCAACACTTTGCGTGTGAGTAGGTGCTTTATAAAACTCAGCTAGATAAGCAAATTGCTTATTGTCCATAGAGCTTAATGCCAGCCAAGATGTAGGCTTTTAACGTGTGCATTTTGAATATGTGAAAATGAAGAAAATAAGGTTCTAATTTTTTTAAGTGGCAGGATTCAAAGATGGGCGGGGAGCAATGAGGACGAGCCCAGCTGTGCATCGGGTTATCCGGCATGGCATGGGCGAGCTCGGGTGAGGGGCGTGGGCTTGAGGCCCGGTACCTGTTGCTTATTAAGTCGCCTGTCTCAACAAAGTCCACACTACGCTTTAAATGTTTGTGATCAATACCCCGTTCTCCACAACAAAAGGTGTGCATATTATCTATTCTTATATGGGCACTATTTGGTCTTTCATTTTGCTCATGATCGGACTACTTTCCCTTCTTCTGAGAATGACTCCAATTTAAATGATGTAGATGCAGCTGCGTCCGTGTTTTTCCCGTTAGTTTGCATGTGACTGCAGGTCTGTTCAGCTCTGGTGCTTTTCCTGGCCCTGTGCACAGGGCTCATCTGTGAATCGCTTGGGTGCCAGCATAAGAAGAAATGAAACAGAGAGGAGGCAGCTCACACATGCAAAAGAGGGGCTCCTTACCCTTGAGAACCTGACCCAACATGGCCCCCCAGTCCTGTGCTGCTGCTAAAGCAGAAAGACTCAGTGGCTGTGCAACTGCCCTTTGAGTCTGGCTCACTGAATTTGTTAGCATGTTCAGCGTCACGGGCTGAATTAAGCACCAGGGTCAAGACAGATATCCCTGGTGTTCTGGTGGTGGTGTTTTCTAGCAGCCTTTTTGCTAAAATGGCTTAGAGAGCCAAGCCCTGCCACCTTGGGCCCTGACGTGCCTTCGGTGCATCTTGGAGTAACAGTCCTTACAACACAGCCCCTCCCTGTGACTCTGTGCCTGGGAAGGGCATCCAGACAGCCTTTCACCAGCATCCCAAGCCACACTAATGAGCCTTTTAGTGAATGGCTCTGCGACCATCTCTGTGCAGAGGATTATTGGGGTGTTATTCCTATTATCGTTGTTGCATGTAGTACGTCACACTGTGTTCAAAATATCAGCTGATCATTCACCCCAATGCACCTCCATGGGGTAGTTGTAGCAGTGGGGTACCATGTGACCATTAGTTATTGTTCTAGGTAGGAACATGGACTCCAGAAGCAGACGGCCTGGCCTCCATGTCCTAGTTGTGTGACCATGGATGAGTGACTACACCTCTCCAAGCTTCAGCTTCCCCATCTGCAAAGCAGGGGATAATAATAGTCCTACCTAATTAGGTTATTATGAGACAAGTGATAAAGCATTTACGAAGAATGTAAAACAGTTACACAGAATAATCACAATAAAAATGTTCACTTTTATTATTCTTATCATCATCAACATCGTCATCTCTACTTCTCAGTAGAGGTTCCAGGAGTTTGTGATTTGCCCAAGATCTCATTCCTAGAACAAGCCCAGGTAAAAACTCAAGCCCAGGTGTCATGACTACACGACAGATGGACTATTTGTCCTCTAGGTCTTTATTTTCTTATTATACAGTAACACAAAAATATGTTCTTTTTGTAAAAGATCAAAATGACACAGAAGCATACAAAGGAAAGTGTTAGGTTCTATTCCTCATTCCTGCCTCTCTCCCCAGTGGTAACCCCAGCAAACTGGTATGCATTTTCCTCATCTCTCCATCAGGACACACATAGAATATCAATGTACAGAGACATGTGTGTTCTCTCTGACATAAAGAATAGGAATAGAGCCTGACTATGGGACCCATGAGGGAGTGTGGGGTGATGTGCTAGGTTCCTCATAGCCCTCTCATCATTTATCCATGTATACCCATTTCATAGATAAGGAAGCTGAAGGTTACAGTGATTGCTACCTCCATAAGACCACATAGGGCTGAAACTAGATTTGAATCCTCTCAGACTTATCCCAGTGTTTCCACCCTTTTATCTAGTACATTATTTGACTATATTGTAAGCATTATTTTTCCAACTAATTTTTTCTCTTAGTAATATCAGTTTGAACTCTTTCCATGTAAGTCCATATGTTTACTTCATTCTTTGAACAGCTACATATGATTCAATGACTTATTTAACTACTTTCTTATTTAGGTTGTTTTCTGTTTCTTTATTCTTTTCTGTTATAAATAATTTTGGGTATTCTCAATACGTATACTTCTGGGCACATGTGTGAGAATTTCTGTAGGATAGCTTCTTGGAGGTAGAATGTGTACATCAGAAAGTATGTACATATTAAATTTTAATATATATTGCCAAAGTTGCCTTCCAAAAAGAATTTTGCTCACTAACAGTGTATAAGAATACCTGTTTTCCTCACATTAGTCTTCTTTTTATCTTTGCCAAGTTGATGAAAAAAAAATGTATTTTTTCTAAATTGCGTTTTCCCTGTTTCCTGGTGGGATTGAGCTAATTTGGGTCATCCACATTTCCTCTGGAAATTGCCCTTTGCCTAACTGCCATTTATTTTTCATTATAGACACTTCTTTATATATTCTGGATAATAATCTTTGTTTGAAATGTGTGGCAAATATGTACTTTCTGTTTCTCTCTCTACTTTGTTTCATGTGTAGAGACTTTCATTTTTTTATGCAGTCAGTATTTGTCTTCATTGTTTCTAGATTTTGCCTTTGGAAAGCCTTCCTACCCCAAATTTATTAAAATTGTCTCCTATGTATCCTTCTAATATTTCTATAATTTTGTTTCAACGTTTGGCTTTGTAAGTCCTAGAATTCATTTTTGTGTAGTTTGACTTAGGAATCTGGATTTACCTTTCTCTTAGTGGAAAATCCATGTTCTCATCATTAATGGAATAATCCACTTTTTAACTCATTTGAAACAATAGCTTTATCATAGACTAAATTCTCCTGTGTACATGGCTGCAACTGGTTCCTTGTGTTATCTGTTCCGCTCATTTATTTTTTTATTTCTGCACCAGTATTAAAGCGTTTAGTTGTTTTAGCCTTAGAATAACTTCCTAGAACAAGAAGAGAAAAATCCCCCTTTGATGCTGCTTCCTTTTTCAAAATATATCTTAGTATTTGTCTACATTTTTTCTTCCATTCAGTGAGGAGTCCGCTTGTCAAAGTCTACAGAAGAAACCCTTGTGACTATTTGATTGGGAATGAATTGAATTAATAAGTTCATTTTAGTTAAATTGGCATCTTTCCAATATTTAGTTTTCTTACCCAGAAATATCATATGTCTCTAAGTCTTTTATGTCCATCCGTTAAGTTCTGTAGTTTTCTTTACATAAATTGTGCACTGAAGGATTTGTCCCTATTACAGATTGGCATCCTGTTTTCCCATTACACTGACCTAATTTATATTGATGATGAGTAGGAAATCATCTTTTGGCTTTTATATGTTAATTTTTTAATCTAGCCACTTGACTGAACTCTTGTTAGTGACCTTCATACTTATTTCTTCTTGACTTACTGCATTGGCTAGAGAAACACTGGTGACAGAGTACATCCTTGTCTTGTTCCCATGTCTAATGAAATTGCTTCTAATGTTGAACCATTACATACAGTAGATACACTTTCTCAGCTTGAAGAAATTTCTTTCTGTTCCTAGTATACTGAGGAGTATGCGTTCCACTGTAGACGATGCAAGATTCCTATAAAGGGGCTTTAATTCTTTCCCTTATATTTTCCTTGAGAATCCAGATTGTCCTAACTGAATGGGACCTCCTAACATAGACATCCCAGCTGAGCCAAAATGGCATAGAAGGAAGTATCTTCTCTTCCCTCCTTTCACTCACATTTGACCCTGGATGACCTAAGGGAAGAAATTACTTTGCATTGACATTTCCTATGCCCTCCTCACCCCCCTGAGAAAAAAAAAACAAATAAAAAACTGGGTGCACTAACACTGGTACATAGGTGCAGGCCGGTGTGTCCTTGGGACTTAGAGAGTGGGACGTCTGGCTTGCGAATGGGAACCTTCGTATGGAGTGCGAAGAAAGAGCGGTTTAAAAATGGGTGACGTTGAGAAGGGCAAGAAGATATTTGTTCAGAAATGTGCCCAGTGCCATACTGTGGAAAAGGGAGGCAAGCACAAGACTGGGCCAAACCTCCATGGTCTGTTTGGGCAAAAGACAGGTCAGGCCCCTGGATTTTGTTACACAGATGCCAACAAGAACAAAGGCATCACCTGGGGAGATGAGACACTGATGGAGTATTTGGAGAATCCCAAGCAGTACATCCCTGGAACAAAAATGATCTTCGCTGGCATTAAGAAGTCATCAGAAAGGGCCAACTTGATAGCTTATCTCAAAAAAGCTACTAAGGAGTAATAAATAATAAATAAATAAGGCCACTGCCTTATTTATTACAAAACTGAAATGTCTCATGACCTTTTTTATTTACACCATATATTTAAATTGGTCTCATACACCATACACCAGAGTTCAGATCATGAATGGCTGGTAGAATGTTTCTTTTGGACAGTCCTGACTTAAATAAGATTGGCTTGTGGTTAGATGAATATGATCAGGTTTTTGAACCTTGATAGTAATTCTGGTTCAGCAAGTGTGGTCACCATTTTCCCCTTCCAAAGATATGATTGGATTTTATTAGTAATGTTCAACTTTCACAGGGACAGTGAATACCATCTCAAAACCTGTAAGAGGTTGGTTTTATATTTAGATTTATATAACGTTGTATTAATATATTTAAATACTGAAGAAATACCCTCATTGTCTCAAAGAACAGCAAGATTCACCTGTGTTTCAAGTTGTGTTCATTAGCCTATTAAAGGCAAGGGCTGAAGATAAATTGACAATGTCCACTATCTTCTGGTCTTGACTATGCCAATTTAATTAAAATAAGCTGTATCTAAAATGTTGCCTTTTACTTCATGAAAGGCATTTTAGTGTGGTTTATGTATGATACTAAATAAAGAATATTTAACACTTCTCACATTTTATAGTCTTAACCAGGTTATATGTTTTTAAGATTGAGTGTGACAGAATATAGCAGCAAATTTTGCTTGTGAACTCTTTATTAAAGTCAAAATACATTATAATTTCAGGATTATCTTTTAAACAGCTATTCAAAACAACTGTAGAATTACTGTACAAGTATGATTGGTAATGGTGCTTTTGCTAAATCAATAGGATTACCGGAGATACAGCACAAATCTGTAAATTATGTGATCCTAAGTCTTAAGGTAATTAAAATCACAGAAAAAAAAACTGTGGGGACAAGAACAAGAGCACCACTTCTGGAATTTTCTGACAGGCGCCACTGAAAAGATTTCATTCCTGGGTCTACTTTTAAATGATTTCCATTTTTTTCTACTTGATTACCTTGAGTAGCCGACCATCATCTCACACTCCAGTTGCTAAGTGCTTTCTGTAGTTTCCACAAGAGGGTGTGAGAAAAACACAACCACCTGACCTCTGATCTGATTTCCTGTTGAGTTTTCATGCAGGCACAGAGCACAACCACTTCTAATTCTAGACTCTCTGTACTGCCTTGTACATGACTAGTGCAAAAGAAATGTATTCACAGTTGATGGATAAAATGATTTAATCACAGAGAACATTTGATCATTTTTAGGTGATGGTGATTTTTTGCTAAGCTCTGAATGAAAGGATTGTATCAAGCATTCATTTGGAGCATGATGCTAATGTGACTTGGCACCTGTCTAGAGAGTTGTCCCTGTGTCCAGTGACATTTTGCTTTGGGGAAGTCATCACCTGATGTGGCATCTGTCACACTTAGGAATATGAAATGCCCATAAATAATGCAGAGCCACCTCAGTTAAATGCCTTCTTCATAAAACACTTAATATAAGACTTTAGCAAAAGATTATTATAAACAACACAGAAGAGCGTTGGGGCTCCTCTGAGATAAAAGCAGTGGGTGATGCCTTTTACTATGGTTTGCGCATCTTCACATGAGCTGGGTAGATTTTATTATTTTAGTCAGTTTTGCTAAGAAAGCAGAAACCTGCTAAGTATGAGGAGCCTTTCTTTTTATTGCTTTAGTATGAACCAGCCTTAGTCTCCAACATCAGTTTGGATGTAAATGCTTTTGAGGGGAGGTTTTCTGGGAGATGGACTCCCAGGATGAGTGGACTCATCCTGGGCACATGGTGTGCAACTGGGAGCCCTCCAGGGGAGCCCAGGCCGTGAGAGACATGGAAGGCAGGAGCTCTGAGAGGCAAGGGAGCCCCATCACGGCAGGCCTGGGTTCCAACGGAGTCAGCTGTTGGTGTAGGAAGTTTGGTTAACTGGACAATTATTTTTCCTGCCTCAGCTGCTTCTCTTTTCCTCCAAATCCCCAAGTCCAGAAAGAGGCTAGGAACAATGACAAGAAGTCAGCTAAATATTCCCTGCGCCTTCTCTTGCAGGCAGGTGACAAACATTACCACCCCAGCTGTGCACGATGCAGCAGATGCAACCAGATGTTCACAGAAGGAGAGGAAATGTATCTTCAAGGTAAGGGAGACTCAAGAACCCGGTAAGTTCTCCCCACTTGGGGAAAGGAAACCTTGCTCTATTCATTTGTTTAGAGAAGGAGACATTTCATTAGCAGCAAGATAATTTGGATCATCTACCCAGATCCAAAATGAATGGAGCCGGAAGTTACCTCATCAGTTGGTATTAATCAGCCAAGCAATTGACAGGCTGATTGACAGGCTGGGAGCCCCTGAGGCTGTTGACAAAGGAACATGTTGCTTCTGGAATGAATGAATGAATGAATGAATGAATGAATGGGGCTTGATGTTTGATACTGTGGAAGTAAGGCAAGAGTGAACATCAGCAAGGCCTCCTCCCACCCCGCCTCCCACCACCACCAATGTGCTTGAGATAAAAGATCAAAAAAGAAAAAACATTTCTAGAAATGCTACTTAATGGATGGCTATACTTTCACTGTCCTGTGAGAAGGATTTTCTTTGAGGCCTGTCAGGCTGCTTTTATCTAGGTTTGCAGAAAGAAGAAAATATCATATTTGAGAAATTGCATCACAGATGTATCTCACTCATTAAGATGACATAGCTTTCATACTGAAAGAGAGAACACACCCAACGTCCCTGGAAGAGACATGGAGACGTCTCTAGTGGCAAGGAAGCATGTATTCTCAGGAGGCCGCTGGATTTGTTTTTTCATTGAAAATAATTTTGAGAAATGTTCCCAGTGTACAACTATGGCGAGTTTTTAATCTCCTCTAAAATTCTGAAGCTTCTTGGAGAGGCTGTAGGGGAGGATTCTCTTCTAGTCAAACAGCACCATCTGTGCAAACATTTTACTATTTTTAGCTAGAAAAAGAGTCATTAAATAGACAAGGGCTTATCAGTAAAATTAGCAAGAACCGTAAGAGCTGTTGCTCATTCAGTTCGGTAATTACTGGGTCTCATCTGCCTATGCAGGTCATTTCTTCATTTCTCTTTGCTTCTAACACTATGTGTGTTTTTAATGAATGGTTTGCTTCCCTCTGTTTCTCTGCAACTAAGGAAAGTCAACAGAAATGACTCTTGAGTATTAAAGCAAAAGTTTAATACTCTCCTCTAAAAAATGCTGTATGAGAAATCTGTATGAGTCATTGACAGCCCAAACATCCTTTCAGCTTTTGAATGATCACTCTGAAAAAATTCTAATTAAAAAAAAAAATCACTGCACTTTAAAGGGCCTGATAAAGGCATGTGACAAGCACCCAGGTCCATGGTCTCATGTGGGCTTTATATGACACATTACCCCGAGGACAGGCTGTAAATCTGCAGTAGCAATTGTCAGGTGTCACTGTTCATTTTCAGCATAGAGCAGATTTATTCTTTATTTGGTCTCCAGGCTTTGTTTTTGATTTTAGTGTCTCGTTATAGCCCTCAAAAACAAAGACACAGACCTGCATGTTAAGTCTAGGTCTGCTGGGACCTGAGACTCAAAGATTCTGGGTGCAGCACTGCACGTTCACATGGTTCTGGAAGCTGAATAAAGAGGGTAATTTCAAGCTGTGAACAAATACAGCACATTCTTACTGCAAATAAACAATTTACCACTAGAATGGGCTATATTCGGAATGCCAGGGATTGTTGTAAATCTCTTCTGGCGTTGGGCTTTGGTGCTTTCTATCTATACTCTTGGCACACCTTGAAGAAGGACAGTTTCATTTTCCTCGGCATCTGATGTTCCCTGAGTCACACTCCTTATGTCTGGGACCTCTGGAGAACAGGATGACACTCTGTGCAAACTGGCATGCTGGCCAAAGACAGCCACTCAGTTAAACCTCTACAGCACGTGCTGCCTGCATGCCCAGCCCTAACCCCGTGGGTCCTGGCTCCCCACGTTCAGAGGATTTCCTGTGCTTTGTAGCCAACCTCAGAGTAAATGTTAGAGCTGAAGGGACTGTGTGTCTATCTGGTTTTGTTTGATATTTTTTGGGGAGGGTGAGGGTCGGCTGGGTTAAGCAAGCTAGGAGGGATTAAAGTATTATTCTGATATAAAATATATTTTCCTTGTCATTATTATTCTAGCTCAGTGGTATTAAATAATTTAAGAGTTACTTTAATTTGGTGACTTTTGACATGCACAGATGGCTGCTTGAAGTGATAAAGATTTCAAAGATGAAATGTAGAAAGTCTAATATTCATGCTGACTCTTGCTGAATTTATATCACTTACTCGCTGCTTATAACTTAGTAGCTTTATTTGCTTACGTCTTATTAAGTGCTCCTCCAAGTTCTGCCTGTCCCCACATTTGAACATTCCCTTATATGAATGTAGGACTTCCTAAGTCTTATCCATAAGCATATGAAGGACGTCTATTATATTCCTAGGTATTCCAAATCATATGGCAGGCTTGAATTCTTTACAAGATAAGTGCTTTCTATCAGATGTGTCTCTGTTCTGTGACACTGGGCCATCTACGAGAGTGCCTCACTGAGATATTAAGACATTCCTCCAGGAACGGAAAATGATACTTATGTAGTAACTTCACTAGTTCAAGAGTGAAGTTCACTAGTTCAAGAGTAAAGACTTTTATTTTTCATTATTTAAAAGGTTGAAAGTTCAAGAAACCTTTTTGCATTTGTAATACAAATTTCAACCTTTCAACTAGTTGGCTTGATTTCCCATATCTGTGTCGATGAGTCTGTAATTGAATCAATAAAAAATTCAGTGAGTTTTGCTTCTGGATGTAGACTCTCTGGCTTGACTTTATTTCCCTCATATAAATTTTTTTTCCTATATGGACACATGGCTTGTGGCTTATATTTCTGAAATTCAGGGCAGCTTGTAGCAGGCTCACAGACATTACTTTTAAAGGACAACAATGTGGCTTCTTAAAAATAGTTTAAAAAAAGAGCAATACCCAGTCAAGAATTAAGTATCTCTTGCATCAAAACACTTTTGTGCCCAGTTGGTGGTCCCTGGGGTCTAGAATTATGACCTTTCTAGAACAAGCTCAGACTTGGTGAGGAAAACTCACCTAAAGTTTGAAGTTGTCAAAATGCACGTGGGCAGAGGGCTCTGGGGCTCCCCCATGATGGGGAAGGAGGGACACAAGCCATTGTCAGAAGCTTGGTCTCTCGGACTGTGGCTGCTTTCCACCTCCTGTAACTCTTAGGGATGTACTGTGTCTTTGCAGGTTCAACCGTTTGGCATCCCGACTGTAAGCAATCTACCAAGACTGAGGAGAAGCTGCGGGTAAGGAAACCATTGGCTGTGATGCTAGGTGCCTTTACAGGCCATGTATTTCCTAGTCACTACTTCTTGGGGCCAGAGTTTGGTTGAAGGTGCTTTTCTATGATTTTTTTCTCTCTACAGTAGACCAAGCTGAAAGGCAATTTGGCCAGAGGAGCAGGTCCCCTCCTACCTTAAATTGACTGTGGCTTTTTTTCCCCCCAAAATGTCTCCTTTGGGTAAAGTAAGCCTTTGGGTAAGTCAGGTTCTCAGGAAAGCATTCAAGGGAGACGTCAGAGCATACAGATGTGAAAAAATGATTCATGGAGTTCGAGTTCCAACATCTGGTGCCCTCCTCACCAGATGTTTTTTTTCCTTAGTCCATAATGCACTGCTCCAGCCCAAACTCTGCATCCATGCCCAGCTCTTGGGACATTTTGCTGACCTCTCAAATCTAAACTCATCAAGTAGCCATCATCTCAAAAAACCAACACTTTTGTCTGATGCTTTGTGGGAAATAATGATGAGCCAGACATATCAATGTGAGCAACATCTGGGTTATTTTGTAACTTAACCCTTAGGAAACATCAACATATCTTGGGACCTATCCTAGAACATTGCACATGCTGGCAGAAACCCTCTTTATCTCTAACTGCTGAAGCCTTCTCCTGATCTTAGTTAATTCTCAGAATACTTCCAGATGGCAATGCTTCATCTGTTTCAGAAGCAAATTGTTGCTCACAGGTGTAAGGTCATTATCATAATCTGTACCCTGTTCAGACACACCCAGTTTTTCAGAGCAATCATCAGAATGGATCCCAGTCCACTGTCTCTCAGTTTAGCTTATTTAGTGGAAAAACTGGTGTTGAATTACATTTGGCATCTCAGTGAAAAGACTGGCCTGAATTTATTTTGGAAGCCAGACTGCAGAGTATGTTATTCAGTCTTTTGAGACTGCCCTTAGCAGGCATGAGGAGCTATGTATGTAACCCCAGCAGCAGCTTGCTTTAAATGGATGGAGAGAAAAAAAGACATTTTTTTCATAAAATAACAGAGTAAAGACAAGAGAAACTGAAAACAAATTTATCCACCAATACCAGGATGGTTTTGGTCTCTGTCAATATACAGCTTCCACTTGAGCACACGTGTACAACCCTCAAGTCCATCAACCAGGCAGGCATATGCTGGAACAGTCTCCCAAGTCTGGGCAACTCTGGGATTTTTGAGGAACCATGGATGCTTTGGAAGTGGGCCATCTTTATGAAGTACTAGAACATTAAAGACAGTACATATTGTCACTTTTATCAAAAGAATGTACAATTCACAGCATAGCTTGGGCATGCAACCCAGAAACCACCCAAGCAGCTGGTGGTTTGCACTTACTTCTACAGTTGCTTGTAGTAATTTTGAATAATCATTTTTACTTCATCCCTGATGAAATCTTTTGGGAGATGAAGAGAAGAATACCAGTGCAGACAGTGTGGAATGTGTGTCGTTTTAAGGATTGCCCGAGTTTGCCGCTCCTATTACTAGATTTTAAAACAACGAAAAGCCACTTTTGGTCACCTCTTGATGCAGCTCTGTGGATAAGCTTATGAAAACAACTAGCGAAATACTTCCACTCTCTCTGGCCAAGAGGAGCTTTTGGTTTTTTTTCTTCCTTTCTGTAAAGCTTTCCAGAGAATTTCAAAGCTCTTCTCCTAAAGCCAACATTGTCCACGTGGGAGGTCAGGCCAGCCTTCGGTGCACTCACCCCTGGGGAGCCCAGCAGTAAGAAGGATGATGCCCCTCGAGGGACGAGGTTCCAATGGGCTCCGAGGGGGCTGCAGGCTGACGCTGGTGGAGTCCAAAGGGGAATCAGTTTTTGAATAAGGCAATAAACGTTATGCTCTCTGAAGGGTGTGTCTACAGATCACAAATCTTGAGCCAAGATTTCCAGACCTTTCACTGGGTGTCACATTAGTGCAGTTACCATAGCAAAATGAAAATGTTTTAGGAATCTTTTGTCTACCCCACTGAGTAGTCCACATCCTTGATCTTTAAGACTCTGAGAGCATTTGGAACAAGATTCTTGAGAAAATCTCTCAGTGGCTTCATTGGCTTCTTGCTTTCATATATAAGAATGTATAAGTCAAAACAAATGGGGTTGGAATGTAGGTAAAGATGTCATAACTTGAAGACCAGTTAGTATGCTTTTAAACATGGGCCTCAAAACACACACACACACATCAAACTGGAGTGGTGCTGTTTGGCGTTTATCATCAGATCTGTTTTCCTGAAGGTTTTTTCATTTGGATAGTGTTTCTGAGTTGACATTTCTTTGCTCATTCTTCCTTTTTTTCCTCTTTCATGGCAGCCACCAAACATTCGTCATTCTTCATCTGATTTCTTTTATCCCAAAAGTCTGATTCGACGCACAGGACGGTCTCCATTTCTCCAGGTTGGCGCTGTGTCCAGGCAGAGGGCTCAGAGCCGCTGTCCTGGCCCCAGGCTTCCGTTGCTTCTCCTCCCCCTGCTGCTTTGCCCACATAACTTCTATGGCTCCTGCGGAGGCAGATGCTGCTGCTCACCCCACGGAGTGTATCTCACATTCTGATCCTGGCTGCTTTCTTCTCTGATCACTGTTTCCGTTGACAGCAGTGGCTAAAGCATTGTCTTCATTAAAGCAAGCACACAAGAAGCTACCCTTTTGGTCCTGTGTTCACAGGTTTCTTCAGGGAACTAATGTTTGCCAAGCACCCAGGTACAGTTAGTGCTGGACTGGTTGCTCCTGGCCTACACTAGTAGGAAGAAGAGACACATAAATAATTATATAATGGTATGGAGGCATTTCACAGGACATGGATCACCAGGTCAGGGCATGTCAGATAAGAGAAGACGGCTCAGGGGAGAAGGAGTCTTTGATTGAATTTTGGAGGCTAGACAGAACGTGAGCACGTGAAGATGTGGAAGGGGTGGGCCCGATGATGAGAACAGCAGAAGCAGGGGGCTCGGGAAAAGCAGCGCTTGGCCCAGGAGTAGCCAAGCGGAAAGGAAACCGGTAAGGCCAGGTACTTACTCTTCAGAGGCTGGGGGAGTCTGTGTACATTCATTCCCTGAATTATCCCACTGGTAAGTGGAAGAGCAAGGATTGGAATCCAGGTCTCTGTGAGGCCATGACTTATGTTCTTTCCACTATACCCCAATGAGGGAGAGAGAGAATCCTGGGAATACAGAGGGTGAGAACATTAAATACTGGCTAAGTCTGACGGTGTCTATGGGAGAGAGCAGCGCGACCCACAGCAGCCACACAGCAGCAAGGTGAGGACTCGGCCAGCTCCCCAGATGGGCAATGAAGCAGGAGGTTGTGCGCCCTGCACACACTCGGCCTTCTTAAGGGGTCCCTGAGAATCAGTGGAAACCTTGGCCTGTTAAATTACAAGTGACTTTCCACAATCCCATCTTTGCCCAGATGAAACCCATATTGTAGCTCTGCTGACAGTTCAAGAGGGCAGCATAGCACTTTAGTCCGGGCTTTGTGCCCACGCCTTTTTCCTGGGCCTGCCAGGACTGCAGTAAGGCCGAGAAGAGTGTTGGTTTTGATCTACATTTATTAAAACTTTACCTTCATTCTTTAAATGATTTTAAAGATAGTTGGAAGTGTAGAGTTTTCGAGTGGAAAGACGCCTTTTAGATTATCAACCCCCAAAGATTGTGCATCTGTAGAGTGAAATCAGGCCAAGGCTACGCAGGTCATAATCAGCTACACTTACCTGCAGGATCGAGGCCTCGGAAGCATCGTGCTGGCCATGGTGCTGGGTTACATGCCCACTTGCACTTGCTGGACGCTCTTCAGTCTATCTGAAGCTTTAGCTCCACAGGCAGTTTTCACATACAGAGAAATTAGTCTCCTAAATCCAGAGGAATTAGTGAGTGTTGCTCAAAATTAGTACCTAGACTTGGCAAGAAGTTGCTTTTTCAGTCATTTTTGGGTTTCTTCCCAAAAGTATACTAACTCAAATACGTTCTGTTTTGTTAGCCTAAGGCTATAGCCAAGTGATGCATTTTTACAAAGAAAAACACGGCCATCCAGTGTGAAACGTTTGGGTTTGCTCCAGACCCTTTAGTTTAAGAGATACAGAACATCTTGAGAAAGTAACGGGGAAGAGGAGAGAGAGAGAGGTCTGGTTTTAGTAACTTCTCCCTTCCTATCCTTTGTTCAGAGGGGACATCTGATTCCCATTATTCGGCCGCAGATATCAGGGACATCACCTTTAGCACTCTCACTGAAAGCTGTAAACAGCAGGGGACCTGGCAGAGGAAACAGGCCGGCTGACGCAGAGTCCCTGCGCCCACTGGCCAATGGGGGACAGCGCACCAGAACCTTTAAGAAGCCTGAAAAGTCCAAAGCAAGTCTCACATGACATAGATATTTTGGTCTTTTAAATACTGGGGCCTATGCAGCAGGTCATTTAGCCACATACTATCCACCTCCCTTTAGTTATCAGAGAAGCTGGTTGTAACCTTGCAGGGACACTTGGCACTCTGTACCCCCCCGAAATAAGCCCTGATTTTGTTGTAGAGGAAAGTCAAATATATAGGAGGCAAGTCTTTTTATTGTTTATATGGTAAAATTGCTCCTCCTTTCCTCTTGCTGAGTTACAGGTAAAAGAAAATGATGAACATAGAATTGCCTAGGAAAAACCCATTCCAGTTTCACTCACTTGCTGGAGTTTTATATGAATAGCAGATTTTTGCGTATAGGTAAACTCAGTACTAAGCACTTGTGATTTCTGCTATAATTCATTATAGACAAAGCACATGATACTCCCAGGACCAAGTCTGTAATTTGGGGTGGATCACTTGCTTTATCCTAAAAAGCAGCTTCTCTACTGCACTTGGAGGGTAAAGCATGAGTGGACCGCTTTGCAAAATGGGTGTGAGATGATTTTCGTTTGAAACTAACATTCACCTATCATAATATATGCACGTACAAGCCTGTAATATGCCGACCAAATACTGTATGTGTTATTTTTTAAAAGGAGCTAATTAGAGGCTTTACATGTGTCAAGAACAAGGAAACAGTGGTGTTGATTATTGTTTTATTAATGTTGCTGTAATACACGGTGCTTTATTCCTAGCTTTCGAATATTTTATTCTTTTAATGAAAGACACTCAATGAAGGTGTGTCTTTACAATGCATCAGAAGGTCCAGGTGTTAAGATTTATACTGGAAAGACACTGAGGCCTCTTGGCCTCAGTACAGGCTGATGGCATCTCCAGAGAAGGGTGGAGGAGGGCGTGTCTTGAGCACCTCCTGCTGCCTCTTTAAGACAGATTCCTTTTCCCAAAGGAAGTGATTTCACCCTTTCTTGACTTCACAGTGAATGTTTCATATATGCAGATTTTTAAAGTATTCCTTCTTCTGCAGCTGTTATCACCCCCTTGTCTGGTGAACTTCAACAAAAACCCGAGGCAGGTACTGTCAACCTCAGAGCAGTTCGTGTAAGGTGTCAGTCACCTTACATCGGCAATTGTCCCGTATATGTTCCTAAGATCTTCTCAGTCTGGTGGCCAGTTGCTGTAGTTTCTCTCCCTTCGTAGAGCATGGCTTTGGGTGAATGCACATTAGATGACCGTAGTTGTCGCATCCTGCTCCTGCTGAATAGGGGGAGGGCAGGGGTGGCGGGGTGCTCTCCAGCACTCTCCTTCTAAGGACGGCCCAGGCGTGCATGGTGGCCCATAATTGAAAATAAATGGACAATGTCATTTCTCTGCTTACTCACCAGGCAGAGCTCTGGTAAGTTTTAATGGTCAATCAGGGAGATGGAGTAAAACATGAAAAGATCTCTTCAATGTAATTTTCATTCTGTGACTGCCTTCTGAGTGGTAGAACAGATGAACAAAGGCATAGGGGGGAAATCAGCCAGAAGGTATTTAGAGGGCTTTTTAAAAGAGTTCATGCAAAAAGAAAGACATGCATTTCAAGCATCAACGGTTAGTGATCAAATGCCAATGTTTTCTCTTTCCAATTGAACTGCTAGTCTTCTAATGATACTGCTCCTTGTTGATTTTTTTTTTTTTGAGGAAAATAAACCCTTTTAAAATCAAAAGTGAATATGTGAAAGTGTGCTGGGGAGGTAAATGTAGTCATGAGAGACTGAGTCAGCACAGCCAACATACAACTAGAAAGTTCTTACCAAAGCTCCTTTCTTCCTGTTGCCAGAACAAGGATTGAATTATTTGCCTAATTTGATTGGCAAAATACTTTGAGAGATCCCAGCCAGTCTGCAATTCTTTCTACATCTATTTTGCCTTTTCCACCCCATCCTCTGCCCCTGCCTTTTTTTGTGTGTGTGCCAAAGATAGTGTCAAAAGGAAGAACTGAATTTTTTCAACTGTGTTATCAAGTTGCTTTTTTCTGCAAGGCACAAATAAAGGGTACTTAAAGGAAAGTTAGTAAACTGCATCTGTTTCTAATAGACTGATCACAGATCCTTGTTTTCTTTCTCTGCAGAACAGAAGTGGGACATACCTTTGGGAATAAATAGTTGACATTATCTTCATTTATAATATAGGCAGGAGAGTCATTTTGTTCATAATAATTCTTATAGAGAATTTCAGAAACAAAGGCTGTTGACCTGTTGGGTTAGTGAATTCAATTCGTAATTACTGGGTCACTGTTGTTAATCTGGATCTCTGAATGGATAGAAATAATTACTCAGGTTAAATAATTGCACATAAGGATCACCTGTGAAAATATGGAACATGGTAAAACTTTGTTACAGCTCAGTGGGTGTTACTACAGTTAAGATTATGGTAAAAGACACTAAATGGGATTTGAAAGAGGGAAAGCAGGCTGGTCAATTGTCACTCTTTATATCAAATGAATTTCAACTTGGCTGGAATTGGATTTGAGCTGACATATTGGAAAATAGTTCTGTACCTTTTGAAGTTGGCCATCAGAGACCCTCAGCAAGTTATGTATTAATTAGGGGAAAAAATATAGTTAGAAGAATAAAAGAGGTTCTTTTAATAATAAACAAGGTATTCATTTACAGTTCAACATGTTTAGAATTATAGATATTTAGAATTGAAATGTAAAATTCCACATATCTAAGATTAAAACTCCAGAAACAATAGTTCAGGTTTTAAAAGTAATTTTAGTATACTTATAAGGGAGAGACTTCTAACCTCTGCTGGTTGAGAAAATACACTTTGGCATATGTGGATAAAGTAAAGGTTCCTATGGCCAGAATCCTCACCTGAACCTCAACTACTTGGTGATGTAACTGGCCTGCTGTTGGGCTACTGCTTCCACACATGTAGGTAATTAGCTATTATTGGCTGAGTCACTATATATAGAGCTCTGCCCGGTGCTCTGGGAGGAGACAGAGACAAAGGAGGATTGCAGACTGCAGACTGTTGGATGCAGACGTAATTCTAGTGCTTGACCTATCGCCGGAAGAACAAGCTGGGTAATAAACACTTTCACCCTAAGAACATTCCATGGTCGTTTCTCAGTCTCACTGAATCCATAGTGAACTTGCCTGAGGCTGAAACCCATTGGCAAGACAGCAGCCATTAGGAACTGTGGCAAAAATCAGAACATCGTGTGTGCCACTTAGCCTTGAAACAGTTCACAAGGCAGAAAACCAGGAGCCATCCTGTCAGATAAGGCTGTGCAAAGTCTTCGCCACCAGACATAGGACAGGCATTAGTTACTGGAGCCAAGACCTAAGCAGTAAATCACCACCTTGGGACTATGCAGAGTCACTTTACCGAGTTCTCAACAAGGGGAAGGTCAACTCCAAGTGGGACCCTGTGTACTGTGATAAGTTACTTAACATCTCTGAGTTCGGATGGGAAGGCATCCAAGAAATCCAGTTTAATCTCAAATGTCTGGAAAATGCTGGGTACTTGCCATGTGCCAGGCAAGGTGCCTGAAGCTTTATTTATATATTGTTTCATTTATCCCTATGAAGTGAGTGTTAATGCCCACTCCTCCATTCTATAAATGGAGAAGTTGAAGCTCAGGCATGTCAAAAGAAAAAAAAAGTGAAAAAGGAAAGATAAACTCATATAATGTCATGCAACTAGGAGAGTCAGGATTTGAACCAAGTTATCTGACTCCAAAGCCAGCCTATTAACTCTGCTATATTATACAGGGTTGTGTTTTATCCCGTTATTTCATTTCTGAAGGGCCATTGTAAAACAAATGCTACTGTAAGAGCCTTGTAAGAAAATAGGCAAGCAAGAATATAACTCAACCCATAAGCCAGATGTCCAGTGAAGTAAATTTTACAGTAAGGTTAGGAGGCCAGAATGAAGCAAAAGCAAACAATAGCCAGGGCAATGAAAGAAAGGGCAGTTTCTAAATCTCCAGGAGACATCTGAGCACTTCTCATATAATGCTAAACAGTCTGCAGATGCACAGGGCTGAGTGTCTCTCTCCAACAGGAGCCAGAGCATCAGTGGGTTTGGTGAACAATTGCCTTAACTATGAACACCATCTAACTACAAAAAACCTAAAATATTTATTTTGGAATCAGAGAACCTGTGGCAGGCATATACATATTAGAGGTGATTCAGATCTGAAAACCTTTAAAGAATCAAATGAGACTCAACAAGAATTAGATTGTCAGATAACTCTTAAAATCTTTAGCTCAACAATATTAATATTGTAAAGCATGAACCAGATACATGCTTCCAAGGACCTGCGTGACTCACAGGGAGGCAGAGACTGAACTGACCCAGGCTAGCTCAGCCAAGACATCTTTTCTTTCCATGGGGTTCTTCATCCCTGGAAGAGAGCATCAGAAATCACTTCCCAACATGTGCTCTGCCTGCATTCCTGTCAGCCCGCGCAGTGCACAGAGCCACCCCCAGGTACATTGTTACAGCAGACAGGCTCCCTGACCCACATTTGACCAAAGTAAGGATGAGTGATGTGGGAGAGACTACAAAGCTCAGTGTGCACTTCGGCTGTTCATGTAATGTCCTAGCTGCTTGTTAATGAAAACAGGCCTTTGCCATGGCAATGCCAGGGACTAAAGATGCCTGACTGTCCTGCGGTGCACCCTCTTCTGCCCCACCCCCACCTAGTGAGCCATTGCCAGGTTCTTAGAGAGCCAGTTACAATAAAAATATTTTCCGTTAGCGGACCCTCTTCTGCTGGCTGATGTCAGTATTTTTCTTTTTACCTCATTTGTCCCATATGTTGGTGGGGAGTAAATGATACATTTACCTTACAGTATGGGGGAAATTTTAGTGCCGAGGTGAGAGCTTGGGCTCTGTCTCTAGCTGTCTGCCTCAAGTCCTGACACCTGCCTACCTGTGTGGCTGGGAGCATACATACTTTTTCCTCATCTGTAAAATAGGGGCAATGGCAGAACTTACTGCATGGGGTTAATGAGAAAATCAAAATGAGACCAAACCTAGGAAGTGCTCAGCACAGGGCCTGCCACGTAGTCGGTGGGCAGTAAATGTCAGCTGCTACTAATATTCTTGTGTTGTTACTCATGAAGTTTTGGTATTGGGTTTGGCAAATATTAGCTCCCAGCCACTGGAAGCCAAAGGACTACCTGTAGTTAATGACCATCCCGCAGAGACGGCTACTGGCTCAGTTTTGTGAAGGGCAGCATCTCAGGCTAAAGCAGGGCTGCACTTCAGTTGTGTCACTTTAGTATTTCGATTGGGAAGTGGATCAAGGACTATGCAAGTCCTTTTTCAGTATACTCAGAATTGGATATTTTCTCGCTGAGATATGTCTGTGATTGGAAATCTGTAACTCCAGAAGGCAAGTGCTTGTCCGTGGCAGGTCTTGCGGAAGAGGGCCAGACCTACCGTCCTGTCCTGGGGATGAGCCTCACCTAACCACCTGTGCACAGTGTGATTCCTCCGCCCCATCCGCCCAGGTAGCCCAGAGATACGCGAGGCACTGGTCCAGAGCAATTGTCACAACCCTCCAGTGAATTCCTATGTTAGAGGGAGTCCAGTCACTACCTGACTTGACTTGGCCACTGGGCTTGCTTTCATTGTTTAAGATGTGAATTACATGGTGATACAGCATCTTTGTTTCTAGGGAGGTTTTTTGGTCCAGTTACACTCACATTCAAGGTGCCAAATACCAGTAGAAACAGTACCAAAAGAAAAAAGTCCTATTCCAAACGAAGAACTATAAGATATCCTCTCCAAGAAATACTTGCATAGAGGAGAGCAAGTCGTCTAAGACTAGGTCTTTGGTTTTCTTGGCAGAGCTTTCCAGAATTTGCTGAGCCAAGCAGAGATAGGAACAGTTAATCCTAGTTTATATATTTCTCTCCTGCTTCCACCACCATCTCACTCTCAGGATTCTGTAAACACATTATAAAGTCTGGTTTCTTTTATCTTCCTGTGCAGCTGACCACTAGCCTTACTTCAGTGAGTCTCTGCATGGTTAGGCTCAGATCATGTAATTCACATGAGTCGTGTCCACACACTGAGTATTTGTTTATAAGTAATAAATACTAGGTCATTCTCTCAATGAATATGCCTTCTATGTGCCTGTGCAAAACACTGGGCGTTTACACTAGTGAAAAAATAAACCCTATGAGGGCAGGGGTCATAACTAAAAGTGATGAGGGAGATAGGTATGATACAAGGAAGCCAGCAAATATGGCTTATGCATTTTATTCATGAAGGAAAAAATAGGAATGACACTGTGAAAGAAAATAGCAAGGGTAACTAACGTAAGGAGGTGACTGGAGCCAGGCTTGTGGCAATGGAGTTATAGAGAAATGTGCTTGAAGGTAGGGTCAGATGGTTTTGTAAGGGACAAGGGAGAGAAGGTGAGAAGAAAATCCCCAAATACGTTTTCAAGGCTGATTACACAGCTAGTTCTCGGTTACCTTTCTTTCTAGATTATATTTTCCCTATGCAGAAAAGTCACAGATCTTTCCTTTTTTAGCCAGCTTAGCTTTTAGTGAAGCTTAGGGACTCAGGCCAGTCTTGATTCTGCAGCCATGGTCTGAAATCTTACAAGTCGCTGTTTGTTTTACAGCCTACCAGGACTTCCTCCGAAAGCATTTATTCTAGACCAGGCTCCAGTATCCCTGGCTCTCCGGGTCACACTATCTATGTAAGTATCCAGTTCTGGAAGAGACACTTCTGGGGCAGGTAAGGAACTGGGATGCAGCAGTGCTGTGGGTGATCCAAAACAGAATAATTCAAAATGATTTCTATTTCTGTTATGAGGTCCTGTTTTTATTTTTGTAGATTAGTCTTCTCAGTCATACTCTCCTTCGGGTGATTGAACTTAATATGTGAATGTGGCCATCGGCGGACCCATGAAGCAGATGTCCTGTAAAGTGCAGTGATCTGATGCAGGACTTTAAAAATTGCTGTGCCTAACTTGCATATCGATATTTGAAGATTAATTATACATTTTATAACACTGATACTGAGTGTTCTTAAATTCTGCCACAAAGATATTTAAATATTTAGTTTGTCAAATACGCAGTTCTTGTTTTGGGCCATCTGGGAGGATGTTTTGACCATCTGCTTGAGCTTTTCCTTCTCTGTAATAAATTTTAATAAATTTTCCTAAAAGTTTCCAGGCTTCTCTACTTGATGAATTCTACATAGAGTTTCTCCTAAGCTTATGTTGAGTTCTTTTTAAAACATGATTAAGATATGGTATAAATGGGCAACTTTCTAAAGAGTATGACTATGCTAAGGAAAGTGTTTTGGTTTTTGTTTGTTTCTAAGGTCTTCGCTTTTTAAGCAAGACATGAAAAGCAGCAATAATAATTCCCCAAAGAAATGAGAATGCGGAGTAATTTTCTTTCTGTTTAACTGTGCCAGGCAAAAGTGGACAATGAAATCCTGGATTACAAGGATTTAGCGGCCATTCCCAAGGTCAAGGCAATTTATGATATTGAACGTCCAGACCTTATTACCTATGAGCCTTTCTACACTTCGGCCTATGATGACAAACAGGAGAGGCAGAGCCTGGGAGAGGTAATAGGTTTCTAGAATTTGTGAGTTGTACAGTGACTTACTTCTTTTTTGTGACGTGTGCAAGAACTACTGATTGGAATCTAAATAAGTCCAATGGTCCTTCTGATTGCCTACTGCTTGCAGGCTTCCATACCAGCTGCTTTGAGGTATCCAAACACCTATCATGCCATCCTTGTGCTGGGGAGAGCAGACCAGCCACAGAAAGCAGCAGTGAAGGATGAATAAGCCTTAGTCCTGGGTGGTGGGACAGCAGAACTGGCACTCTGGAAAGCAAGCCAGGGCTGTCGGCAGATTCTGTGAGCTGCACAAAGGGAGTGAGGGCGGGAGGGTCTTCTGGGGGGTCTTGGTCTTGGGACAAACTGAAGCATATTCATGGGGATCATGAGGAGAGTGTACCCCCTAAGCTTAGCTGCAGTTTCTAGCATCTAAAGATATGATGTGTAAGATCAGAAAGAGTAGAGGGGTTGGGGCCATGGTTTAGCACAATGGGGCGAGCCGGGGCTCTGGAATCAGATTACCTGGGCCCAGCCCCGGACTCCTCATGCAGCGGGTGCAGCTTTGGCCATGTGACAACTGTCCGGAGCCTAGTTTCTTCATTTGTAAAACAGCTAGGATAATGATAATCGACCTCATAGGGTTAGAGGATTAAATAAACTGTCTATTAAAGATGAGTATTATATAATGTCTAGATAATTTGTTACTTATTAAAGTTAATCTATATAAACTAATCTACTAAAGCAGTTAGCAGATAGCCAGACTCACAGTAAATGTCTGGCAAATGACAGCTACTGCTATTGTTTTTAACCTGTCTTCTTGGGGCTTATTCGTGTTCTTCCAACACTAATGCTCCAGAAGCTGGAGCACACCATCTCAGCCCCTTGGGGTCCTCCCCTTCCCCATCCCTTCTCTGGGTCGGGGGTCCCAGGCTGTCACAGCCTACCCAGGTCTCATGGGCTCCTGACTATTTCCTCTGGCCTATTAAACTCTCTCTAATTTTTTTCCCCTCTATTTTTTTTAAATTGGAATCACCCGTGGACTAATTTGAGTCCAATAAGAGAGATGTTACCCAAGCAGTGGACCAAAATTAGCTGTTCAACCAAGGTTAAACCAGACTGTAAACTGTGCTTTGAGACCTTAGAGGAAGAAAAGGCATGAAAATGTGATGTTATTTAGTTTGTTCTCAATAATATATACAATATTTATTGTCTTATAATTATGTTTATATTTATTTATAATATTATATTGCTCTTTTTGTGTGTATCTTCCAGTCTGGGTTTTATTCCAGATCATAGCAGCTCTATTTCAGTCCTTTGGGCTCCAAATACTATCTGTTTTCATGTAGTGCCTCCTAGTGGTCGTAAAGCTGTAACTGCATCGCAGCAGCTCTCCGAGGCAGGTTGATTGGCCCCGGTTGTTCAGTTGCCATTGGGACCTGGAGAGTTTAGTTAAGGGGATAGAGGGCAAAGGAAGTTTCCTGAAGAAAGTGCACAGGGGCTGGTCCTGGGGCAAAATGGATGAGAATTTCCTAATATTCAAGTCATACAGGCAAGGGGGAGGTGAGTTGTTTTATGGGGTTTGGGGAATGTGTGTATATTTCTGTGTATTTCCCAATGGCTCCATTTTGAGCAGTAAAACTTCAAGCTCCTGATCTGTAAATTTAAGATAAAAATAATACTTAACTTAGAGGTTTTCTGTAAGGATTAGGTGGGATATTTAGATTAGAACACGGCCTGGCACATAAGTGCTCAGCAAAATGCTTGGCTGCTGTCATGATCCACATCGTTCCTGTCATAGCCTGGAATGGTGACCTGCAGGTTTCTCTGGGCGTAGAATCTCGGTGGAAGGGTGCCCCAGATCAAAATCAGATGTATCGGTGAAATCTTCCCTGAAACGTGGATCTTACAACTTAGTAAGCTTTACAAGCTATTTGATTATTTATTCCTTTAGGCCCCCCAGAGACAGGCTGTAGCTTCACATGAGCCCGTGGGGCTTGCAGTGCAGAGTACAAGAGAGCCCAGCAGCCTCTCGCAAATTTGGGGAAAGGGACAAATTCTAAAGCTGAGAAATCCACCACTGGCCATGACCTTCAGAATGCTTTGATTTCAGCTCATTTCTATTTGAAAGCTTTTTCCGTTTCAATTGTAAACATTTCATTCATTTAGGAAATATTTGTTGGGTGCCTAATACGTGCCAGCCATAGTTGCTGGGCATACTTAGCTGTAAATGGAGTCCTTGCCCTCCTGGAGCTTGCACTAATGTTGGAAACAAACAGTACACAAACAGATATATAATTTTACAGGGTGATAGTGCTTTGAGGAAAAATGAAGCAGAGTAAGGAAAGTATGCCAGGGCTGGGTTGCTACTTTAAATAGAAGGGTCACAGAAGGAACTGCATGGTAGTGCATTTGAGTAGACACGTCACTGTAGATGGGGACTGAGCCCTGCAGGCATCTGAGTGGAAAGCACTGCTGGCAGAGGAGACAAGCATGGGCAAAGGCCCTGAGGTGAGAGAGGCCTTGGTCTGTTGACTGCCCCAAGGAAGCCTGTGTGCCTAGAAGGATGGAAGCCAGGTGAATGGTGGTTGGCAAGGCCACCAGAGCAGGCTGCTACAGGCCTGGTCATCACAGGCCTGTTTTAGTCATCAAACTGTTTTATGTGATTGCTGTGGTTATAATTTTGTTAAAAACCATGTTTATAAAATTCTTTGTTTCCACAGACACTAACTCACAGCAGTAAACAGAGCATAGTTTGAGCATATAGGGGAAATAATTCCAATTTGTCAAGCTTAATCACCTAGAGCAGCAAAATGTGTTTATCAAAACCCAGGTCCTTAGCAGAGACATAGCATCCATGATCTCCCACGGGCTTTGTTTGTCATTGTGTCGCTGTCTGAGCCTCATTCTGAACTTACTGAATCAGAAGACGGGGACAGGAAAGGGGTGTTGGAGGGGGTGTATTTTGAGTAATGTTCCCAGGTAATTTTGATAAGCAACTCTAATTAAAACTGATAAGTGAATACCATTATAACTTTAAATTCTTTTTTATTCTTCCAGTCCCCAAGGACTTTGTCTCCTACTCCATCGGCAGAAGTAAGTCCCATTTTTGAAAATTATAACGGGTGGAACTTGGGAGTTCCTTGGACCTTTCCCAGACTGGAATTTTTGGAAAAGGACATTAAACAGAAGAACAGAAAAACCATGTGCAACATGATGCACATGGAATTCTTTACATGGAAGACATAGGACATAGCACTAAATTTCTTTTTAAATGGAGACTATGGGGTAAAAACAGCCTTCCACTGATCTGACCTGTGACTCTTAAGTGGTAGGAAAGGGTTTGCAGCCAGTGAAGCCACTTGTCCCGATGTGGGACTCTCTCCCCTAGTCCATGGTTAATTGATCTGAAATGCTGGATTATCTGAAATGGCCTGCAGTGGTCATAGAGTGCCCTATAAACAGAGCCAGCTTCATGGGAGGCCACTCCTTCTGGTCTAATTTCAATAGTCTTGCTCCCCTTCTCAGGGCAAACAGGTCTTTCAGTGGCTTTTATCCAGTCCGTCAGGTTGGCTGTTCCCGTAGGAATCACCTCCCGTTGTATGCAGATCTCACAGGGACATCAGTGACTGTTCCGTAGTGAGCCACAGACGTACTCTCCGCTCCGCAGCATTCAAAAGCTAAGACACAGCTACCAAATTATAGTCACTCTTGCAAGCCGTTTAGTAAAAGATCTTCAGGAAGCTAATGATACCAATCTGCAAAATGGAGTAGCTCCTTCACACTATACCCCTTGGTTTCAGTATTTTCTTGGTTTTACCCTCCCCTTGTATTGACCACCTACTTGGGTACAGATGGCATAATAGTGGCAGTACTGTACTCCATTGAATTGATATGCCATAATTTACTTCATTATTCCCCAGTGTGTTAAGCATGTAATATAAAGTTTTGTCTTTATAAATGGCGGTATTATAATTATCTTTGAGTGAATTTTTTCATTTAAAGGTCCCTTTTTATTACTGCCTTGAAATAAGTTACCCAAAGTGGGAAATGAAATTATTAGGTTTGAGGCTGCCACCAGATTGTTCTCCCAGAAAATCTACTTAAAACTGTCGTCGGATCAATGTTATGGACAGTGTGGGTTGGCAGTCAGAACGAGGGGTGAGATCAGAGTCAGGAGCTGGTTCCCAGGCAGGCTCTGCCTGTATGAAGTACACACCTGCATACAGGCCTCTTTCCTGCTTGGAACCTTCTGAAACCGTCTGCATTTGTGGAGAAGGGAGGTAATTCCCTGTGACCTACCTTAGTGTACAGCTCTGATGAAATGATGAATATGAACATGCCATCAAACTGTAAAGTATATTGTCCATGTGGCCATTGGCATTATTTCCTCTTTTCCCAGAGCTCTATCAACATCAGAGTTTTTAATTTTTATGTCTTAAAATTTTGGTAGATGCAAGTACTACAGGTTTTGAAGAAAAGCATTAGCCATGGAATGCCTGTTTGCACGCTTATTTAAGGAATATGTCCCTAAAATATATACGTGAATAGGTAGACATGATAGTTCCTGGGCAACTTTTGCACAACTTGATTTCACTTCACATGATGATGGCCTGAATGTACATCCTCTGCTCCTGCTGTCTCACACTGTTTCCAGGGGTACCAGGATGTTCGGGATCGGATGATCCACCGGTCCACTAGCCAGGGCTCCATCAACTCCCCCGTGTACAGCCGCCACAGCTACACTCCGACCACGTCTCGCTCTCCCCAGCATTTTCACAGACCTGGTAAGGACAGCTGTTCCTGGGATTTACTCTATGTTACAGTCTATGTTTCTATGTGACTTTTTTTTCCCCCGCCACTGATAGTGTATTTAAAAATCTGGCTGCCAAATATATCTACCCCTTTCCCAGAAAAAAGTGAAAACTCATATCTAATTATAGTTTGTGTTATATCTTTTCTTGAAACATTTTATTTATGGTTATCTTCATTATGATTTATTAAATAAGTACACTTAACAGTGAACAGTTGGAAGCAAGGGAGATGTTTCTTTTCCTTTTTTTAGACTTGAAGAAAATCTCATCACTTTGAGACTTAAAATGATGATGTTCAAGAGAAAATATTCTGATGTGCCTTTTTTGGTATATCGTATTAATCTAAAATCCAGTATTAGCTATATGTTGATGGGGTTATTGTGTTTCTCCTGTCCAGGCACATGGTGTTACTAACATGCTTGTTAAGCACCTTCTAGAAGGAAGTCCTGGGTATAACCTCAGGGTTGTATTGATAATTTTTAAGAACACTTCCAGCCCTAAGATTCTGAGTCAGACTTGGACAGCATAGAAAAACATTAGTGATAGATTTTGATAGAGAATATCAAATAGTAGTGGACTTCAGCTGACCTTCATTTGTGTAGAATTTAGTCCTTGTTACTATTAGTGGATGAAATAGAAAAAGAATAAAGATCACAGCACAGACACAGGACTCCCTGAGAAATAGATTCACACATAGGAAGATTCTGGCCTTCTAAACAAACTTGGGGGCGATGTATGCCTATGAAGACTTCACTTTAAGCTCCTTGCTTCTGCCCAGGCTGATGAGAACAAATCCATTCATATGCTAACTTATTTTATAATAAAATCAAAGGAAATGAACAGGAAATAAAAAGGCTGCAATCTTCTCTTTAAAGCCATAGATTTAATGCTTGTAGAGGATTGAATTTTTACTATTTGATCCTTCAGTGAGTTATAGTTTTCCCTAAGCTCATAAATATTTACTCAGTATTTGTTAAGTTACATTAAATGAGAATTTTCAGGAAATGAATTCCTTTTTTTTTTAATCATGTATGACTATATTCATTGTATTCAGGCCCTGGAGCTGGGTCTGGATTTAAGCCCTTATCTATGTGGATAGAGGGAAATCCTTTATGTCATCACCTGTCCATATGGCCATATGCTGAGGTCACTGAGACCGGAGCTATGCCGGAGCCATGACCTTGTCAGAACGACATGGGTCTCCTAGGAAGTTGTTCCATAGACCCCTGAATAGTGAGGGAAGTGGTCAGTCAGGGATGCTGTTTCCCTACCAGGTCATGTCCTTGTTGAGCACTAGAAGGTTTACCATCTGCTCCAGCCATGGCTCTGATGCCAGTAGCCTCTAGAACAGCCCCATCCTAAGTGCTCTTCTCTCTTCACAGTGTATTACGGATGCGCATGATGCCAGTTGGGGTTAATGGCTATTTTTTCACAGTCTCCGCTCTAAAGTGAAATTGGTGGGGCTCCGGTGGTGCAGTTGTTGTCAGTATAGAACACCTGGATGCCAGATGGTGATGCAAATCCCCTAGGAATGGGTTTAGTCTTAATGGCCCTTTTCCCTCCGAGGTACTGCATTTCCAGTTCCCCAGTGCTGCCAATACACAATTCTCAGGATCGTAAGCAGCTCTTTGCCACCCAGGGGGCACAAACAGGTTTTCCTTCTATGTAGGCAAAATAAAATTAAACTTCCAGTGGGGAGAAGTTTGCAGCTTAAAGAATCTGACTCTTACCTATAAGCACTCCTTTTCAAAGTTCTTGAAATGATGGTCATTTTATTTTTTCACATGCATTTTAGAGGGTTGTGTTTTGTCAAGTGCTTTTTGTAAAACAGCAGCTTTTGAGTGCAAGTCATGTGCCCTGTCCTGGCTCGACAGTAGCTGGTGTCATCCTGACAGAGAGGGTGCATTCTCAGAAAGTCACTCTGTACCCACCCGAGCCTGTTTGCAGACTCTCCCCACTTCGCCTAATCCTCCACAGGTGCATTCCTAACCCTTTTTCCTTCCTCCTCTTTCAGACTCCGACTCCTGATTAACGTTCTTGGTTTCTTGCCCTTGGAACGATGACGCTGTCCCCGCTCCTGTGTTAATTTCTGTTCTTCTTTTCTGTTTCCACCTGGCCCTGCCCCTGCCTCCTTCTGCACAGAGCTGCTGTCTCCTGGTGTGCACAGGTTGTCCTCCCTGCGCACCAGCAGCCTCAGCTCCGCCCACAGCGACTCCCGCCCCAACTCCCCCTTCCGACACCACTTCATTCCCCATATCAAAGGTAAGGAGGCAGCCTCCTCCAGGCAGCACCCTGCATAGTGGAGATTTATTAGCACCCTGGGAAGGCTAATAAGGTGTATCTCCAAGAGTTAGCTCTGAGCTCTGGGTCTCTCAGCATGCCTGCGTGTGTCATGGCTACACCCAGCACTGTCTTAGAATTGGCATAAGCTCTCTTATCAGTAGAAATATGTCATTTCTAAGGGCTTTAGATGAAGAAACAGGAAGTATGTTTAAGACTGTAAGATCCATTGTCTACTGCTTAGAAAAAAATATATATATATTATTATTTTGTTTTTCTATGTGTCAAAAGCAAAATATAATATATAGTTGGGGTACTTGCCCAATTTGGTATATGGTAAGGCTCTGCAAAGCACACTAGTATTTAGCAATGAATATCCAAAAGTTGTCTTAATGGTGACAAACCATTAAAAATATTAAAACATTTGGATAATACAAAAAGTTTTATGATGGTATAACTTAAAGTTCTCTCCTTGAGGTTACCCTTAGAGTAATCTTTTGATTTGTCCTGATTTCTGCATGATAGAGAAGAGAGGCTTGGCCTTCATTTTCAGGGCCGACATTTCCACCCATTCCCTCTGTTTTCCTCATTGTTCATTATGCTTCCATAGCCGTCCTCAGCTGGGGCTCTTATTCCCCTCCGTGTGTCAGGAAGCCAGGAGTCCCAAGGAGTCACAAAGGGGCCATAATTTACAAAGAATGTGAGCTCCCAGAAGGACGGACACTAACTTTTTCTGTGCTCTTGATTCAAACCGAATTAACCAATGAAAACAGCTGAAGGAGGGAGTAGCAGGCAAGATGTTGGCAGGGGTCTTAAGGCCTAAAGGCTTCCAACCCTGTGTGCCAAGTGCTCACACCCCTCACGCCTCTTTCGAGTAGCCTCATGTTCTACGTGACTGGACTTTTGTTTGCAGTCTACCCAAACTATCTTCCTTTTCCTCACTTGGATTTTTGAGCCTAAAATAAAGATGCACTGCACTTATCAGCATGCACTTATTTTCTGTGTCCTTTTTTAGCATTTACTATTTTTACTACGCTGTGAAAATCATACTGCTGACATGCATATTGAAGGCATGCCACTTGCCATTAGCACAAGAGATCTGTCTTTTCCATAAGCACAGCACTTTCTAAAAATCTTGGCAGATTATTCAGTTATTATTGCTAATTAGTATTTGGAGGGGAGAAATCTCTGTTACCTTGATGTCCAGATGATACTTTAAAGAATGTTTATAAAACCATAAGAAATCATTAAACAAACTTCAGAGATGTATTTTAAAGAGACTTTAATATTGAAGCCATTGGCCAAATTAAGATTTTGTTCTATGTTTCTAATGTGCAAGAGAAAATCCATTTTTAATTCATTAACATGTAAGCTTTATTGTGTGGTTGTTACATGTTTCATCTTTCAGAAGAGATACTTTTTGTAGGAAGAAAAATGTCCCATGCTATGTACAGTTATACAGAGTTTGCACAAATAACACATCACAAAATACTGAGACTCACAAAACCTGGTGTCTGTGAGCAGCCTTATGGAGATGAACACCCCTATGGACACTTGGAGTCCTGAGTTTGAATATGATCTCGCTCACTTGCTAGCTGGGGACCTTGGTGTGTTGACTTGACCTTTGGAGTGTCACTTATCTCATCTATAAAACCTCTCCTAGGTCACTGGAGGGTGGGAGGTAAATGGCTCTGGTGTGTAATAAGCACTCGACTGTCTGTGTTTTCTCCCTCTTAACGCACTTTTGATTGCATATTCCATTCACTCTTCATAGCATTGGCGGGGTGGAGAGGGGCAGCTGAGGCCCAGGTTAAGTGACCTGGTCAAAGGCTCACAACTAGGAAGTGGCGACATGTGGACCAGACCCCAGGCCTTTCCATCCCTGAGTCATGCCGGGTGGGGGTGGTTTAAGCATAAATATATATGAGGTATAACTTTTAAAACAAACTTTTATTTTCCATCTCTTTTTAATTAGAAAATCACCTTCTTATTGAGGCTAAAACAACTACTTTCAGTCATTTAAATTATAAAATTAACAAATTTTTACTTTTCAATAGAAATACTAAATGGTTATGAAAATTACAATACCTCTGTATGCCTAAATGGTGCTTTATTACAAATGTAGATATACATTCTTTTCTGTCTTCAGTCTGAATTTGAAGCCTTGAAAAACACAGTCAAATGTTATAGGTTTAAATTATAAAAAGCATTAGGCCAAGAAGGATTAGAGTGGCCCTGAGTTTAAAAAACATCTAATAATCTCTCTCCTATTTTCTTCTTACCAGACATATGCCTATAGTTTGTTCATGTGAAATGGCTTATATATTTAAGATACAAAATATGATGTATGTAATGATTAGTTTTAAAATCAGATGAGCCTTTTGCTAAACTGCAAAATCATGGAGAATTTGTATGTTAAAGATACTGCTTTAAAAGCATAATATGGTTGAATGGCTACATGCTGATTCTCCAAGGAATTAGTTCTTAGTTATTTTGAAAAATATATATCTATTTACATGGAAGACCTCTCTAGCCCTTCGAAATTTCAGTGCAGAAGGTACCTATGACCATTTGAGAAACACATCTGAGATATCCTTAAAGAATCTCCTGGGGCTTTCCAGGGCCTTTCTTTTGAACATTTACATTTTATCTTGGAGCTTGTTTCATGATCTCAGGGGAATCATTTTTAAAACAAATGTAAGCTGGGAGCCTGAGGACCCCAGAGTAAGATGTCCATCTCAGCTAGAAGCAGGGGCCACTTGCCACTTTGACAGCCAGAAGCCTAGCCTCCCATTGCCAAGTTCACTTCCTGGTCCTTATTTCTAATGCATGTGGCCTAGGCCCCCAGGGTTCACTGAGCTGAGGATGCCTGCATGAGTTTTTAGCAGAGACGCACGTCACAGGCTGTCTCTCTGCTGCATTGGTTACTCCATCCATTTTCTGTAACAACTATGTTATTTTGTGATATTTTTTTGTCTGTCCTCTGACCTCCCTTCCAGCCTCATTCTATATCGGTACGTCATTGTTGGGCCATTTGGACCGGTGCATGCTTAGGGGTTTGGAAACTATTCTCACTTTGTTTTGGGCTTTGTTTGTGCTGTGTTTGCTGGGTTTCTCTTCCCTCCCCTTTGAAATACTGCTAGACATTCCGTTCTGTGTCCCTGAAGTATAAATCAGATTTGTGAACAAGAGGGCTACATATATTAAGTCTCTTTGAAAGGAATCTTCCTTGTTTTGACATAGATATAAGTTGCTGTGGTGCAAATATGTGTTTGACATTTGCTGAAGGAAACCTTAACACTTACTGAACCTTTAGACAAGGACCAGCAACCTTGAATTCTGCATGGAATTCTGGATGTTGCCAACCTAAGGACCCCTCAAAATACTCGTTCATATTTTGGAATATAAGCACTTAAAATCCAGAAAGCTAAGCAGTACTTGGACGAGTCCCCCCAGTAGACACATGCACACAGCCATTTCCAGGTTCTTCTCTTAGAACTTGTCATTTAAGCTCTCGGGGTGCCAAAAAGAGGATTGAAAGTGAAGGCAGAGCATTTGAATTTGTTAGTACAGTGAGCGTCCTGCAAGCCGCCCGTCTCCCAAGGACTGGAAAATTGACTTATTAGGCTGACGTGGACGGAGTTAAAAGTGAAGACCAAGAAATATGCATGTGGTAGCTGCTATCACAATAGTGAAGATCACCAACAACTTTGAGTGAACCAATACAAGGACTTATTTAAAGTAACAAAATGGCTATGAATGTGATATATACACTATTATCATTTTTAGGCAGTGTCTTAACTCTGGGCTGATAGATCATGACAATGATGTTAATAATAACAGCACCTTATCACATCTCATACATATATGATATTTCATCTGATGCCTATTCTTTTGCCTAAGTAATGAACCCAGCACAAAAATAACCTGTTATGGCCCTCATCAGATATTTCCTTCCAGGATAGAATTTAAAGTTTTACCATTTAAAGATAAGGTGTTCAAGTCAGAAAAGGGAAAGAGGCCTGCTCTTGGGAATTTTTCTTTTAAAAGTGCCAAAATTTTCATCTACTACACCGAGGGACAGTGACTGCAACAGAGTATGGTAGGGGACTCGATAATAAGGGTGAATGTAGTAACCACATTGTTTTTCTTGTGAAAACTTCATAAGATTGTATATCAATGATACCTTAATAAAAACAAACAAATAAATAGTAAGTGCTAAAATTTGGTAATGCCTTTGGTCTTCTAAGGTCTAATTATTTTGTACCTAGCAACATTAGACATCCTGAAACCTTATTCCCAATGAACCACTGTGACGTGTGGAGATCATCTTGGGCAGAATCACTTAGATGAGTGTGTTTCTGAGTCTCTCTTTATCTAGTGTTTTAAAATATTTTGTGGAGGTTTTAAATAATTATAGAGTCAAATCTACTTGCAAAGACTTGCACACACTAGTGTTTTTTCTAGCAACAAGAAAGGGCAGTGGTTGCTGAAGACACACAGCCCAATACAGAACTGTGCCCAACTGGAGACAGCATTCAGCCAGAGTTCATCCACTGGAAATTCAGGCAGCTGCCTCTGAGGGTCATCAACTGTCTCCAAGAAGCGATGGGCTTCTTCTGCCATTTGCCAGCAGAGCATCTTTTTGATAGAAAGATATTTAATACTTGGTCAAATGCTATTTCTAATAACCTTAAACCTGTGTGTCCCCTATACGCAGAAAAATTTGTGTGTGCATAACAGTGGTTCATAACTATCAAAACAAATTTAATGGCATTTCATCTGATTAGGTATTATGACCCAAACCTGTGAGAATATGTTCCTGAGTAACAGGAAGGTTAGAGGTGAAGGATTAAGAGGCAGGGAGCAGGGTGGTTCAGAAACCATAGAGGCCAGTGCTCAGGCTATGCAGTCTCGAGACATCTCAAATAACACAAGAAAGTTGAGTCTCTCTAGAACTTCTTTGGAGAACAGCTCACAAGAATGATCTTGGTTCTCAATTATGGATTCCCCTTGTGAATAATTTCTTTGTAGTTTGTAGGAGTAAACAGTTCTTATTAAGTGAACCAATTCAATTGGGGTTTTGAGGATCAACTTGAGCAGGAAAGTGACATAAAGAGAGTGCTATTGGGATCCCCTTGCTGTATACTAGCATCGGGCTGTCATTATCAAGAGAAAGATGACAGTTACTTCTACAGTGGCTCTTACTAAATTAGGCCATTCGTAGCTGTAGGAGTCAGCAGGTGGTCTACTTCAAGGATTCATTCACAGACATCTGTTAGGCACTTACTCTTGGCCAGGTATTATGCTGAGCACACAAAGGTGAATAAAACTTTCTTCTGATTCAGTAGGTTTAAAATTGAATTTCCTTCTACACATAAACCATATTCTTCCTTCCCCTGCTTGCCTTTACCTGTGTATTTTTTATTCACTTTTCCAGACATGGGCTGTTTAATTCTCTTTAGGAGAATGATAGTAAATGAAGTAATATTTTTTAAATGAGGCTTTTAGTAAGTCAACGGTTTGGATTAAGCTTCATAATATTTAGAAGCTAATATCTGGCTTCAATGGTAATGTCTACACTGTAATATACTGGGAGCTAGATGATAAACTGACCCTTGAGGAAAAAGACCAAAGTTTCAGAACATGATAACCAAAAACGTGGAATCTAAATATGAGCCTATAATAAATAATTACTGCCCCTTTATACAGATATGTGCTCTGGTTATCTAAACATATACATACTGAGAAATTAAAACACGATTAAATATGTTGTTTTTAAACTCCAGCATTTGACATCTTTTATACTTTGCTGGCCAGATTTAGAATAGTTTGACTTGAAGAAATTGGCTCGTGCTCAATCTTCTAAAGATCAAAGATTTATTTAAAATTGTTATTAATTGATAAATTGGACTTCATCAAAACTTAAAACTTTTGTACTTCAAATGACACTATCAAGAAAGTGAAAACCAACCCGCAGAATGGGAGAGATATTTGCAAATCATATATCTGAAAAGGGGCTTGTATCCAGAATAAAGAACTCTCATAACTCAATAACTAAAGTAATTAGATTTCCAATTCATTAACTTTTGATAGTCCTGCATCTTCTAATGTATTCTTGGATCAGATGTTTGCTCCAATGTGGGGTCGGAGGAGAATTTAGGGCAGTAGCTGATCTCTTTCTAATTTTGCACCAGCCTCCGTTCACCCCCACACTTCTCCTGGTCCGAAGGGAGTGCCGGGGACTGTGGTGGCTCCCAAGGCTTCTGCCTCCAAGTCCCAGTGAACCTTTCCAGCCTCTTCCCTGTTTTCTCCTCCATGAATACTATGCTGTCCAGCCACAGTGGTCAGTCCTGTTGACCCACACACCATGGCCTTTCCTTCCTCATGATGTTCCAGCACTCTGGAATCTGGGCCTTCTCACCCTTCTGCCCGCCTGTCCACCTGGTGAGCTTACACTTTGATGCCCAGCTTAATCTAACATCTCTCTGTAGCTTTCCTGAAGAATCAGTGGCACCTTCACCTGGGTGTCATAGAATTTTTCATATACCTGAGTGATCACATGGTATTCTGTGTATCTATTGTAAGTCTATCTCCTTAGCTAGACTTGGAGCCCGTTGTGGGCAGGGACTGTATGTATCTCATTCATTTCCTTCTCCTTAGCGGAAGCTCAGCCTAGCAGGTGCTCAGGAATTGTTTTATTGCTGGAATTGCTAGACTAGGTGGAACCTCAGAGAAGCTTTTGAAGAACAAGATGGGAGAGGTATAAGTGGGCTAAAGTACCTGGAAGAAAGGGGTCTAATTCTATCACATGTATTTCAAAGTGAGGAAACAGAAACATAGGCTGTCCTAACAGCACTTGGTATTGCTAAGGGGGAGCACTGTGTGACCCCACAGAGTCCCAGGCTTAGCCTTCCACCCAGAGGAACCCATCCCCACCACCAGCCTCTGTCATCATGCCTGGAAGTGACTGTATTTGGGTTTGCATATCCCACCCCTTTACATGCTTGGGATCTAGCCATCTGACAACTGATCCTGAATCATTAGCAAGTGACTTCCATTCCTTGTAGAGTGCTTTCCATCAAATCAGTTTACTGCTAGCTCACAGCCTTCAACCGCATGCTACTGGAATGACGCATCTTATTGCTAGCTGCTTTAACCTAATTCCACTTGACCTTGAACCTCTCTTTCGGAAAACTAAACAAACCTAAAATCACCTTTGCAAGCCAAGTTGATAAATTGAGTTTGTTTCTTTTGTTTCTCCTTTTTGATGTACCTCCTTCCAGCTTGTTCTGAATTTTTATTATGCTTGCTTGGTTTTCTTTATCACCCTCCCTTCTCTCATTTTGTTTTCTCCATTCTTCTCATTGGAGGCAATGAGCCGTCCAGCGGCCGGAACTCCCCTCTCCCTTACCGGCCAGACAGCCGCCCTCTAACTCCAACTTACGCTCAGGCCCCTAAACATTTCCATGTTCCAGGTAGGAGCTGACACGGTCTATGTCTTGGTGTCTGTCACAGTGTAGAATGTAGCCACATACCTCTGTCTCATCTCCATTTCTCATGCTTTTTTAATTGGGATGCACACAGTCAACAAACCCTAAATTGCAGGATCTAACCTAGGGGGGGCCTTTCAAAAGCTATATATGTAAAATGCCAGGATTGTATTGAAAGCTTAAGTTTTCTCAAACTTTTCTGAAGTGAGGTGGAAGCAGAGGGTGAAGGAGTAAGGGTTGAGTTGCTTTGTTCTAATGTCTTATTTTGTTTTTACTAAAATTTTAATTTTATCTTGATACTAGCGCCTTCTATGATATCACTCTGTGGTTCCATGTCATTGACTAGTCATCACAATGGCGAACTCGTTATCCCCTCATCCTAAAGACAGACCACAGTGTTACTTGAGAGTACTTTTGTTTTCCTATTTGTCTCCAATGTGCAGATTCTTTCTATGTACGATTCAGAGGGGGATCAAGTTGGATCAATTGGGCGGTCCTTCTGCTGTGTTTAACCACCTCCATAGCCAACAGAGGTATCTTGCAATTTAGGCTTGGTGCTGTGAGCTTTGCCATAGTCACAAGCCTTTACTGTCACAATACAAATGGCAATTTGCCATCAGGAGCTGGAAGAATCAGAACTCATCAATATCTTGATGTTTAGGGTTAGCTCAAATTTTAAGGGCAAAAAAATTGTTTATCAGAGGTCATGATATCTTTTTTGAATAGGAAGTACATTGTTTTGCTTCTTTTAGCTACTCAAAGTAGTTTAATAAGTTTCCCATTATATTAATGTTAGTATATGTATTTGGAATCTGTAATCATTTTCCATTTACATTCTAAACTAACTAATAAAACAGAAAACGGTTCAGTAAGATTCATATCACTGAGATAGGACTGCTTTTTTAAAACAAGTTTCACTGAACCTTGAAAATCAATGTTGCCTGTTTGTGACTTTTTCAAATGAAGAATGCCCCACTGAGAGTCTAGTAACCATAATGTTCTTCATGTAATTGTAGATTAATGATAATAAAATGAATAATAATAATAAAAAAGAACACCCCACTGAGATACAGTGTCCAAGATTCTGGGGAAATAAACCCTTTGAAATTTCCTTAGTATTTGCAGTCAAAGTGAAATGGTAGCATAATCAAATGGGGTCCAATATAAATATATGAATAATATTTGGCATCTCTTTTCTTTTCCTTCCTTCCTTTTTTTTGAATTTGGCCTATATAAGCTAAGATTTTGTCAAATATCCTGTCAGCACATCAGACTAGCCTTGCATATAAAAACTGTTTCTGTGTTTGAAAAAAAAAATCTTTATTTTACTACATTGCTTTCCACTATTCCATTCATTAGTTGAAAAGTAAATTGAGCCGCTGGTGTCTGCTGGGAGCTCAATTTCTAGACAGTAGCAATTTGGGGATCTTCCCCAAAATGGTTATGTCTTCCTCACCATCAGAGTACATTCACTGCTTGCATTTCTTCCTGTTTTAATCCCACTTTTAGGGAAACGTGTATTTTAAATAAATGGCTCATGAATTAATTACATCTCTATCTACCCTAAGATGCATTACAAAGGATTCCATGTCACTTGTCTGTAGTAATTCTCTCATTCCTGTGATCTCTTCTTCCAATAACCTGAATCTTTGTAATACAAAAGTTAACCTCTGAGTTATTTTTGTTCAAGAGTCTTCAGTTTGGTTTGCCTCTTGGTTGATCTGTTTTTTCCCACTGCTGGACTGATTCCCATAATCACACACCTTTGCTTTTCATTTCCACAGATCAAGGGATCAACATCTACCGAAAACCACCCATCTACAAACAGCATGGTAAAACCCGCTTTCCTCTGTGTAGCTCTTACGTAGCAGCATCAGCTGAATTCTGCTGTCCTCTGAAAGGCTTATCTGCCTTGGAGAATAAAACTGGGGCACCCAGTGTACTCTGCCTTTATGGTCTCCTAAGATGCAAATATTGTGGGTTGGTTTTCCTAGCTAGCACTTAACTTGGGTAGGAAGCCCCTAGCCTATTTGCTGAGCCCATCAAACCATGTATCAGTCCACACATAAAGAAGGGAAAACTGGTCACACAATTCACAAATACCCTAACAAGACTTTTTTGTGTTATTTGTTTTGGCCATCAAATAATTTAACCAACCTCTATAATAATTTTAATGAGCTTGCAGTTAGTTTAAAGAATTAAAACTGGGAAAAGCCAGCTACCGAGAAAAACTAATTTGACTAAGTCTATGTCAACTTGACTGTCCAGTTCCCCAGTTTCTCATGGGGCATGCAGACATCTGTGCCCTGTGGTGGAGTGGACAGTCGCATGCTGAAACAGAGGTCCTAGCCCTGCTCCCAGCTCTTCACCTCTGTGATATGGACATGATCTCTTTGTCCCTTGGTTTTCTCATCAGCAAAAACAAGTGACTTAAGCCAGCTTGTCTGAAATTCCTGCAAACTAAGCATCAGTGATAGAGATTTTAAATTGTGTTTTCCTTTCCTGGGAATATGGAATTTTTAACCCCAGGAAATCACAATACTAAGTGGAGGTCACGTTTCCCTCCACCATTATTAGGTCTCTATAGATTCATCTGCCATAAATCTTTATGAACGGATAGAAAGTCAAGACTGATCTTCAGGTGATTTCAGAAAATTACCCACAAATTGCGCCTGGAAATTTGAAGGCTGGCTTTAGAATCCAGCTGATGTTAATGAGTCCTTAAGGATTAGGATGACATGAAAAGCAAATAAAGTTGGAAATGTACAAGGAAAATATTTAAGCCAACATTGTAGGGAAAAAAGGAGAATTTATGTATTGTAGTGATTCTAGAACTATTATTTTTTTCATCTTTTTCTTTTAAGATATTCATGCCATGTGCTTGCTTTTTTAAGTTTGTTAACATTGTTTTTATTTTTTTTATGGTTTAATGTCTTCTCACCCACTCATTAACATGTGAATGTTTACTGACTTCACCAATTCCCATGCGTAAGTACTGTTTGAAGTCATGCTTTTTTTTTTAATGTAAGCATAAGGCTCCCAGAGTTTGATTTCTCAATGTAGAAATTACTTTTTTTAATACTTACATGTCTAGGACTCTGCCTCTAAACAAAAATAATCAAATAATTAAGACTTAAAGAGATTAGATGTTAGGTTATTTATCTGGAAGAGTTTAGTTGACTTCTTTTTGTGAAACTTACTGTGGTTTTACTGTTTATTTTCAGTAGATCTGTTATAATTAAGAGTAGCACAACCAGAACAGAACTTCCCAAAGGATATCCTGCAAAATAGGTCCATGCAATAGAAATAGATGTTACAGTAATACCTAGTGTCAGTGGGAAAATGAAGTCACAATTTTTTTTGTAATGCAGAACTACTCAGTCTTAGATATGCTAACACATTTTGTCTTTTTTTATGAAGAGGGTATAGTAGGCCGTGTTTTCCAAGCCGAATTTTTTTCTTCTCATGAGGTTAGAGATTCAGAGAAACACTGTTTCATGCCTGGCCAAGACTTTACCCTTCATTATCACATAGAGTGACCTTGGTCAAGTCACTTAAGGACAGTGACACACAGGGTACTGGAAAGGTGGGGAACTAGAGCTGAAGATTCAAAAAGTTATTTCCAGATATTACAATATGTGAGCCCAGGGAAGAAGAAAGTTTTATTTAAAGCATCATAAATTTATTTTGAAATGTTCAGTAACATCCCAGGCCAGTTTGCAAAATTAGCTGGAATCAGGGATTGACCTTTTAACCTGGTTTGCTTTGCTCAGTCTCTGTGATTAGATTTGGGGCTGGCTCTAAGCCATTTACAACTCTAAGTAGAGCCATTAAGAACTCAGTGAACTAATGTTGCTGCTAGTCTCACTTTCCTGGTTTAAAAATTGGATGGCTCACTTTTAAGTGCAGACCCTTGAACAGAACACTGAGTATTTTGCGTATATACATACATAAGTCAGCATAGGTAAGTCACAACACTAAGTTCCTGCAAGCTGAAAGTGGATTTTCCCTTTTCTATTCCTAGCACTCAAGAATGGATACATAATAACTAAGGATTAGAATGAACTGGACCAATATATTTGTGGCTAAGAAGCTGCAAAGATACAAAGCCATCCAACTCTCTTATGATTAGCAACTACATCAAATGACAGCATCTTGCTTTTAGACTCTTCATTTCAAATTACTGATTCAGATTTCTAATTTTGTTCGAGAAGAGTATTGTCCAATGGAACTTTCTATGAGGAAAATGTTCTGTAACTCTGTTGTCCAGTACAGTAGCTACTAATCACATGTGGCTATTGAGCACTTAAAATGTGGCTAACGTAACTGAGGAACTGATATTTAATTGTATTGAATTTTTGTTTTATTTAATTTCATTAATTTAAATTTAAATAGCCACATGTAGCTACAGCTAATACTGAGTGGCACGGCTCCAGAACAAGGTTTTTCAGATGCAGAACAGATGTAGAAGGAAGCTTTGCTTCTGGCAAAATATAAGGACAATGCTACTGGTGATAAACAGCTTTCTGGAGTTGAAACTTTTGCCAGAGAGCAAGGAACTTTGTAAGTGGGTTGTACCACCAGGGCTTTGCAAACCAATAGCTAAGCTCCACCTGATTCCCACCTAGATGCAGCTGCCCTGGCAGCCCAGAGCAAGTCTTCAGAAGATATCATCAAGTTTTCCAAGTTCCCAGCAGCCCAGGCTCCAGACCCCAACGAGATACCAAAGATTGAGACGGACCACTGGCCTGGTCCCCCCTCACTTGCCGCCGTAGGTATGCAACTGTTGCAGCTAAGCCAAAGGGCCAAATGGCTAGGAGCTCTCAAAGTGCTTAAAGATACTCAAGAAAAGGTATCCTATCCTACAGATTTTTAAGAAAAGTATGACCAAGAGGTATAATAGTGAAAAGAACTAATGTGGTATTAACATGGATGCAAAATGCTTCAAAGTCACAAAAACCCAACCACCAGAGCTTTGTGCTAACCAGAACTACTGAGATGCAGAACTGGTCTGAAGCTAATGATTTGCACGGGCTCTCAGAGTCACCACCACAAAATCAGTAACTCTTTTGAACATAACTGCATCATAGCCTCCTACCAAGAACACTTTTCTGTATACTTAAAGTTTAGAGGATGAATTTACCAAGTGTCCCCAGAAGCGTGACTTCTTTCAGTTAAATTTGTTAGACTATTTCTGGGTTGTAATTACAATTCTCATCTTAACACTGAAAGACTTCACTTTTCTCACTAGATCATGTCTTCCATTACTAAGAAGGGCTATTAGACTAGCAGCTGTTCTGAAATATTACTTGTGTAAAGTTATATGACTTTTACACATATCATTTTCATGAATTGTTTGCTAAAATGTCACATGTGAGCTGTTTCATGCTTTGCTTTCAACCACGAATTTATACTTTAGAATTGTGTCTGTGTCTTTCCTGTTTTGTCAGTAGTGAAATCGCTTGGCCTAAAAAGTATTAGCAAACTCAGAAACTAAGACTGAAATTAGTGAGTCAGCTTTCCAAACATACGACTAGCTTATCACATTTCTGTTGAAAACCTAAAAGGCCTTCAATTTTCCAAAATATCCAAATTTTCTTCATCACACTATTTTTCATCAAATTCTCTTTGGAATAGCTTTTACAAGCAATATGAGTGTGTCTTAAAGCAATTTATAATTATAGAAATAGTTGAAGGAGACTCTACCTTCTGGGCTCATTATTCACACGTATTCTTTACATTATGTTGACTTAAGATTTATCAAATTCCTGCAAATTTGTGTCTATTAATTTTATTAGTGTAGATTAAAGAGAGAAAATGCCCATTGACATTTATGGTTTTTAGGAACTAAGAGTCAATCATCAACTTTTCTCTGCTAGTCCATGCCCTTCAGTCAGTTCTGCAGGCCTTTGAGGTTCCTACTTCGGTCACGTTGCTTAGTGGAGTCACTGAAACAACTACACTTTCGGGGAGGGAGAATTAACATTGCAGTTTTGAAACCATCATCACTAAATAGCTTCAAGCTCTTTTGGATTCCAAAAATGAAGAAAATTTCTGGTCCACTAATCAAAATGAGAAAAACTGAGGCTATTAGTTAACGTTAATTTTGGTTAGATTAGCAAGCTTTCCTGTTTCCTCCCATAGCCAGTTTAACCCAAGCAATTTAGAAAAAACAATAATTACCTTAATTTTGCAACCATTCAGACAGATTCCTCCTTCCCACTCCCTGTCTCCCCTTTTCCGGGAAGCTTAAAAATCATACATGATCTGCTATATTATACCAAAATAAGTAACTTTTTAGCTGTTTGAACACTTTTTATTGACCCACGAATCAAAAAACTCTTCTGTGAACATTTTTCAAAGGATTGAGGGAAGGGAAACATTGGAGACCCATCCCTTAAAATAAAAATAAAAAGCACGTTTGTTAATGAGTTTATTAAGGGTAGAAAACAGGGTGACAGAATGATGACAAATCTAAATATTCAGAAACAGAGAAAACTACAAGAGTTTAAAACATCGTGAGAATGTCTATCATACCTATTTGGTATATAGATGAGCTTGGATTCCTCTCGTCCAAGGAATTGAATTTGAAATTGAAATTTGAAAAAGGACCTCAGGAACATCAAAATAATAACCGTAAATGCCCCTTCCACCTATAGGGAGCGCTGACCCATAGCCACCGGGCTGACTTAGATCCAGTGGTCATGGCAAACCAAGTTCTAATTGAGCAGATCACTGTTGGGAGGCCAAAATTCATGCCTTTTTGATCACACTTAGAACTGGCTTGTCAGTGGGCCCGCTGTCTTGAGAAGCCAGCCAGTCGTGCCGAATCAGTGGTAGGCTCTGGTTTACCTTGTACTGTTGACAATGTTGCCAGCCTGACAAGGTGAGCACAGGTGGACTAGTCCCTGAAGATCCCCTCGCCATGGTGCTAACGTGAGAAGTTGTCTTTGCTGTGGAATTAGGAGCCGACATGAGACGCAGATCTAGTGGCAGAGAGGAAGATGAGGAGGAGCTTCTGAGACGCCGGCAGCTGCAAGAAGAGCAATTGATGAAGGTTTGTCCTTGAACTGCTTTGCTGCGCTCTTCCATTCCGTTCCGCTGATGCATGTCTTTGAATGACGGCTGTGGGCAAGCCGCCAGGATGAGCAGGAGGCGGTCCCGCACCTCTGGGGCTGGCAGTCGGGTAGTCAAGGCAAGATGGGTATCGAGGGACTCCAAGGCAGAATACACAGTGGGCTCTGGAAGAGATGACCAGGAGGCTGGGGGTCTGAGGGACGTGGGATGTTCGGGATTGTGTAAAGAGAGTGAGATACTGCATGTGCTGTGCACGTGAAGAATGGATGCCAGGGGCCAGTCGAGCCAAGGTGTCCACCGAGCTAGTGTGACACCTCCCTTCCCTCGAGCGGGCTCTGCAGAAGGAATTCCCTGGGGATTGAGCATTTCTCCAGGTCTTCCCTCAGGACTTGTGTAAGTTGTGTGTATGTCTGGGCTAGGAGAGAGGAGAGAACTTGAGTGGGCTGCCACCAAGAAGCCCTCATTATACCCTCCTGCCTCTAGCATGAGCCTGCAGCACCTCAGAAGACTGAAAGGATAGTCAGTTTACAGCCTGGGGTAGAGGGAGCCAGGAAATTATAAACCCTCCCACCAATAAGGGACTGACGAATCCCTTCAAATGGCATTTTCCAAAGATACTTAATCATGCAGGAAATGCACGTGACATGATATATGGAGGTTGTATGGTTAGTTATATGGAGGGAAAGGATACAAGAGTCCATTTATAGCATGATCCCGGTTTTGTACGACATGTGCATAGAAAAATACTGGATGGATATAAACCGAAATGTAAATGGTAATACTTTCTGGGTGGTGGATTACCGGTTACTCTTCTTTTCCTTTTGGATTTTCTAAAACCTGTACAATGAGCAGGTTTTACTTTATTTTTTCTTATTTTTAAATAAATCAATGTTATTTCTTTCTAAAGAACAATGTTCCAAAACTCTCTTTTCCCACCTAAAATCCACACCCACACACACCTCCTAAGGTCACCTGCTGGCGCTTTGGGTGAGAGCAAAGGAGAAAGAACGTTCTTCTGATTGGGGCCGGGCTTAGGGAAGTGGAGCCCTGATAATGAAAAGGCTAAGGAGGGGTTCAAGGTCCAAAACCTGGGCTACCTCTTGAGGAGCCACCAGGCTCTGGGACTGTCTGCATCCGGGCCTCTCCAGGCTCAGAAACTTCCTTCAGGACCTTCGAAAGAAGAAATTGCAGCTGCATGAAAGTGATGGCAGGGTTTGCTTTCCTTTTGCTTTGTGAATAGCTCAACTCGGGCCTGGGGCAGTTGATATTAAAAGAAGAGATGGAGAAGGAGGGCCGGGAGAGGTCGTCCCTGTCAGCCGGTCGCTATGACTCTCCCATTAACTCAGGTGAGCAGCACGCCTACATAGCACTACATCTACATGGGCCAAGAAATGAAGACTTCAGAAAAAATGAAATACCATGCCTATAGGTAAAGAGGCCTTTTAAGTTCCAGAGCCAGAATTCAACCCCAGCTCGGCTCCCTCCAGAACCCAGCAGTTTATGAGGCATCTATGCTGTTGATTGATGGGATGCCCTCTCCCAGACCTCCCAGGAACCCACCTGCAGTGGGCCAGTGAATCTGATAACTTACACGGTTGGCTCCCAGGCCAGTTAATCCTGCCATGCCAGCTGGGATGTGGACTTAAGCATCCAGATAGCCCTGGGTTCAAATCATTAGTCTGTTATTTACAAGCTGAGCAACCTTGGGTAAGATACTTAACTTCTCTTAGCCCCAACTTCTTCTCCCGTAAGATGGAATAATTACAGCACTTTTAGAGCTGTATCGAGGATCCAGAGATAAAGCATCCAAGCACTCTTCCTTCCCCACCCCACCTCAATCACTGCCCCCATAATCCCTGCCTCACCCACATATGACAGCACTTTGTGAACATTTGAGCCCAATAATCTGTGCATTTTTCTAAATCTTCTATTCTGAAGGGTAGAAGATGCACTGCTGATTTCATTTAAGAATTAGCCTTCCAGTCTCCTAACAACTGCTCTTTTTTTTGCCTTTTTTCTCATTCAGCTTCACATGCTCTGTCATCTAAAACCTCCTCTCTCCCAGGCTATGGAAGAAATGGGCTTCACCGGGTAAGAGTGTCAATTAATTGTTTCTGAGTTTATTCCCCATTCAGTCCTGGTGGAAGTGCTGACATGTTGTCTGGATATGCCTGACACTATGATCTCAGTGTTGGAATGTAAAGAAAATTGCCATCTCCTTGATCTCTTTGTAAATTACTTTGACTTATCGATAAGCTTGAGAGAAAGAGAAATCGACTTTAGACAGAACAGCTGTATAAATTTATAGGAAGACTAGATTAATTGATTGTGTGGCAGATATTTCCACAATCAACAAAGGTAATTATTTGAGCTAGTATCTCTACTGTAAAAAGATATAGGAAAGTATTGGAATCACCCTTCCCACAAAGCATAGAACAAATGTAATTGCGTGACTCCATGGAGAAATGTATTTTTATTTATCCGCAAGAGATACCTGCTTACCAAGGGCCTTCTGAGCAGTGGCACTGGACATACTACAAAAGACAAAGGGATTTCATAGTAATAGAAGAAGAAAAAGGAAAGAAAAATAATAAAGATCAAGGAATTCAGCTTGAGAAGAATTCTTAGGATTTTGTAAATCCTTTCTTCCTTTTCACCTGACCCCAAACTGATCACTGTGGAGTACATTTTCTAATAATGTGTTTTTCGTCATTTCAGCCTGTTTCTACAGACTTCGCTCAGTACAGCAGCTATGGAGACGTCAGTGGAGGGGTGCGAGGTGAGGCCCCTGTGGCTGGGCTGCTAATGGGAGGCTAGACCATCACAAGTACCCTGGCTGGGTTCATGCTGTCTTACAGCCTGAAGCAGGGTCACACCTGTCCTCTGTGAGATAATGGCGCACTTATGAAAATCACCAAGGGTCTCTATTGAATTGAGACCATGGGAAGGAAGTTTGTAAGAATGGATTCATTCTCCTCCTATGTGCTGAGCACTCGGTTAGACACCTGGAGGTGCGGTCATAAGCACGATAATGCTTTACCTTCAGAATGCAAATGGCTCTGAGGGACAGGAAGAGAGGGAGAGAGGGCATGAATGATCAAATGAAGAGAGAAGCTCCGTGTGGTAAATGCTGTGCTCGGACATGCAGAGAGAAGGCTGAAGCACCTTTAGGGTGCCAGGGAAGAGCTCCACGAGAAAAGGCAGTTTTGGCTGAAACTGGAGCAGGCAGTTCCTGGCTTCAAGGGGGCAGAGGGGCAGCAGGTGCAGAGACCAGAGCAGGGACAGAGCACGGGTGACTGGGGAGTGTTTGGGGGGCTGCAGTAGGATGTAGTCTCTCTGTTAATATTTCTGTGCTTTTCTGTTCTTTCCCTTCTGATACTTTCTTTTTATTTCCTCTCCAGACTACCAGGTATGGACTGCTCTCTTTTTCAAGTGGGCCACACAGCAAAACAGCCATTTCCGATCCAGACATGAGCTGCTGTTCCAGGGAAGGGTTTCTGTTGAGAACATTCTTCTGCAGGCCGATCTGTCTAAGCATTAGACCATGGATGTGAGGGGCCATGCGGTGCATGCATGCCTAAGCTGGCCCTGCAGCCTGGGGGTCATGGCGTGGACCAGGCCAGGTGTCAGAGGACTCTCTAGCTCTGGCCTTACATAGTCCTCTCTGGGGTGGAAAGGGGACCAGCGTCAAAGGTCTGTCCGTATACAGCTTTTTTCTTTGACTTATACCCACTCAGTGCCTTAGGCCCTCCCCTCCTTTGTGTGGTCTCAAAAGAAAAGAAACTCCTGTCTTAGCCAATAGGAAAGAGCTGCTCTGGTACCGTTCCTTTTTTCCTAGAACCCGAACCTTACAAAATTATCATGGAGAATGAGAAAAGGAAAAAAATGCAAAGTAAACTAAGATTAAAATAAGAAAACAATCAGAGCCTTGGCAATTTCTTGATATACCGTATATAGTTGATCCTTGAATAAATAACACAGGGATTAGAGATGCCGACCCCCTGCACAGTCATAAATCTAAATAAAACTTTTTTGACTCCCCAAAAAGTTATCTAATAGCCTGCTGTTGATGGGAAGCCTTACCAAAGACATAAACAAGTAACACATATTTTGTATCTGTATTATATACTGTATTCTTACAACCAAGTCAGCAAGAGAAAAGAAAATGTTTTTCTCAAATTGTCACCAATCTCCAAAAGAATTTTCCACATAGTTACTGAAAAAAATCCATGTCTAAGTGGACCCAGTTCAAATCTATGTTGTTGTTAAAGGGCCAATTGTCCTTTCATGCGTGAGTCTAAGTTGGGGATTAGTCAATAGTTACGGAGCTGGGGTCTTTTCCCAACTTAACTATAAAAGAGCAGTATTCCCAGTATCCATGCTCTTATTCAGCAAGGATCTTATTTAGAATAATTTGTGATAGTTAAGATGACCTACTTTGAAATGGTGGAGAACGTTTAAGACCCAACAAGGAGGTCTGGGAGCCCGCAGCTCCCCACGCTGGGGTATGCCCCTCCTTGAGCCGCCTTCTCTGTTGCAGACGCTCCTGGATGGCCACATGTCTGGAACAAGAATGGACCGGGGAGTATCCATGCCCAACATGTTGGAACCAAAGGCAAGTGCAGCTCCTCTGCTCTCTCCTCTCCTGAGGGCACAGCAAATGGGGCATGACCTGAACCAGAGCTGGGCATCTGCCTTCTCACCATGTCAGGGTTGAGGCCCCTTGGTGCCAGACTGGTACATTAGGCAAGCCATGTTGCAGAGCCCCTTGGCAGTCAGCTGGCTTTGCTACACCCGTCAGCAGGTGTAAGCCCTCTCTGGGCGTGGTGCTGCGCACGCACCGTGAAGGACCAGCACATCTCTCCTATGACCTTGCTATTAAGTCAGCCCCCTGCGGTGAGCACTGCAAGGCATGCCCAGTGCCCATGGAGCGATTACAGACCACTCCAGAGAGGGTGACCAACGTGTCCCAGTGTACCCAGGACTTCCCCGGTTTCAGCACTGAAAGTCTTGCAACCCCAGGGACCTCCTCAGGCCTGGGAAAACTGGGACACTGGGTCACTGTAGCTTCAGAACATCACATTGCAGCAAAGGTGTGCAAGGGCTCTGCTCCCTGATGAGCATAACAGGCTTATTTCAGTGTGTCATCCCGTCAGAACACTGCCTCTGGGCCTGCCTACTTGGTGGATTCCTGAGCCAGTCCCAGAACAAGATTGTTGAAGCGTCCCAGTATTATCTGGCCAGATAAAACACGCACTCGTCATTTCAGTGCCTCTCAACTTTCACCTTCAGTTTATATTCTTTCCCTCAACAAAGCCCCCAAAGGCACAGCGCTGTGTGGGTCGTGGTGGGGAGTTGGGATGGTCTAAGAACCTGTTCCTGGCCTCTGGAAACTTGAGTGAAGAGCACCCATAACTCAGCTGCTCTATTAATGATGTCTTAGAAGCTCCACCTGGGGAGTCCTGCATATTAGCTAAATTTTCCTTGTTAATAAAATGGACAGAGATGTTCTAGAAGAGATGTTCTTTGCTTCTCAGATATTTCCATATGAAATGCTGATGGTGACCAACAGAGGGCGCAACAAAATCCTGCGTGATGTGGACAGAACCAGGCTGGAGGTAAAGAAAAAACTTTTTTAAAATCCGGTGCCGGTTGTAGATCCCTGTGCATTTCCCCCCAGCTTTCCCCTAAGAAGTGTTTCAGTGAAGGCAAAAAATAAAAACGATTAACCCCAAAGTGGAGGTAGAACTAAGATAACTGTGGAGGAAAAATCCGAATTAATTCTAAGAGTGTGGTAAAATCCTGAAGACACAGCCTGATCTTAGTCCTTCCCTTTGGAAACTTGGGGCTGCCGGAATTACGGCTGGTGATGTAGAAAGGAGTCTCCTTCCCCCTTCGGATGGCTCCACATCATCATCTTCCCCGAGCCTGGGCTTAGTTCGCTGAGGCGGGGGGTGAGGGGGTGGGTGAGGGGGGAAGCGTTCTGTAGACGTCTATACCGACAAGTGTCTCTTGCCGTCTCCACACTCCTTGCTAAAGAGTCAGCTGGCTACACATACCCAAGACCTTAGACATGGAAGGCTGACCTTTGTCCTCCATCTCACGGTTTTAATTAAGAAAAATTCTGGCTGCCAGTCATATAAAAAAAAAACATTACTTTTCCCTGACAAAAGGCAGTACCTTTGTATGTGCGGTCAGCCTGGCAGAGAATAAAGGCTCCCGTATCCTAACGGAACTTTCCTAGGAGGAATGACATATGGAAGGTTTTCCTCAGTCAACCAGGCAGCCACCTGGACTCCTGACACTGAACCAGGAGGAAGCCCCAGGACCACCCTGGAAGTCTCTCTCTCTCTCTCTCTCTCTCTCTCTCTCGCCTTCTCATTGCTATGGTCCATTTTCCCTACATCTTCTCCACATCCCGAGGACCTGAAGGGGACTCGCCTCCAGCATAATGAATCATCTCCCTATGTCCCATCGCCGTTCAGTGTTAGAATAATCATTAATACTCTGCCAGCTCTTTTGTCGGTGGGGGGAGGACACCCCCCTGGCGTGACTAGTTAAGGAACTACTGGGTCCAGTGCCTGCTCACAAGCCCCTTCCATCATGCTGCCTTGCTCTTCAGAATGAGTACTGGCCAACTGGAAAGCCTCGCTCAAGGCCATGCACACGGCCAGCCAGACTGACCACTGTTCTTTTCTCCCATCACAGCGCCACTTAGCTCCGGAAGTGTTTCGGGATATCTTTGGAATGTCCATACAGGAGTTTGACAAGTTACCTCTTTGGAGACGCAATGACATGAAGAAAAAAGCAAGACTTTTCTAGGTCCCATGTGTAGACGGCAAATAGAAAAAGGGCTGACGATGGCAGTGACACATAGGATGCTGTATTAAGGCTCAGCTCAAGTGGAGAATTTGCAAGCTACTGTCCCTCAGCAACAAGCAAAAGGGAAAATCTGATTAAAACACCCAAGAGCCAGATATTGGGCTAGCCAATGGCAACACTTGCCAAGAAGCAAAGGGGTAGAAATTTCTATGTTCCCACACTCGACAGCAGTGTTCACATGTGACCTTTTCACGTGACCTTATGTACCCAACAGGAGCTACTTCTCTTGTTTTCCTTTAACTGTTGTCCAACAATAGTGCTGACTGTATGGATAAGAGCCAGCAAGTGCCCTTAGGATGCCACATGGAAAAAAGCAGTTGTAATCAATTCCAAAGTATGAATCTATTTATGCTGTAGCACTGTGGCTGAGAAGGAAGAGCCTGAGGGACACATCCACGTGGTTGGTGGCAGCCCCTTTGCACGCTCCTTTCCTCACTGCCTGATGCAGCCCTGCCTGGGCTCCAGCAGGGTGGAAGTCAAGAGTTGGGGAACCCGGCCACTCTGGTAGAGTGCACTGAACAGCAGCCAAAGTAATTTAAGGCAAAGAGAGGAAAAGGGGATGAAAGGAAAACATCCCTTAACTCATTTTCTGCTGCAGAGAGTGGGCTTCATCCTTCCTCCCCAGCAAGGACAGGCACTGTCTCGGGCCCCACCACTGCAAAGACGGGGGAGGGAAAAACTGTCTCCTGACCAGCCCAGTTGCTCCCTGTTAGATGGTTCTCGCCCAGGGGCCGTAGCTCTCTTGGCCAAAAAAAGACAAAGTTCTGAGTCCTACCAATGCCAGTTCATCCACCCTGCATCCCCTGCTTGTTCCCCAGCATCCTCTGAATCCGAGCAAGCCCATGCTGATTTGGGTTTTTTTTTTTAAGGTCTTTTTTAGTAGTAGGCTAAGGAAAGGCATGTTTTTGTCTTTTAAATCTCTGCAACACCAAGGTAGATTGCTTCAGAGTGATTTAAAAGGAAGATGAGCCTTTTCAGCTTGCTTCTTGGCCTAGCTCTGTTGACTTCATGGGTATGTGTGTGTGTGTGTGAGAGAGAGAGTGTGCGTATTTTAACTCATCCAGTGTAGTTTTGAGAATCTGCATGTGCTCTTAAATTTCATTTCTGCTTGAATATTTGTCACGCTGTGCTGCAGCTTGTAAGGAGCATTTGCACAGGTGTGCATGACTCAAAGGTCTTGAGTGAGGCTAAAGCACATCTTCAGCCTGGCGTCCTTCACGGAAGGTGTTGGTATCAGAAGCCAGCAAACCCCATGACCAGTGCAGCTCAAGGCAACATCACACTGAAGACCACAGACCTAGTCGGCTGTATGTGGACACCAGAGCATCTCAGCAGAGTCCTCAACCCCAGCAACACGAGTTTCAAACTAGAGTCTAGGATTTCACCAAAGCTTGCACGTCAGACCACGCCATGATCCCTGAGAGCTCTGGTCAGGCCTCAAACAGGATGTGAGTCAGATGAGGGGGAGTATCTCCTTCTCCACACAGAGGAGGATGTCACATTTATTCTCATGCTTTGGGTTCTGCTTAGGAATTTAAACCCCGTTTCAAAGGCAAAGGAGAAAATGTTTTAATTCACCTGCATAGGCCACTAGTAAGAAAAGCGCAGAAATTCTTCCTGCTGGTACCAAGTATTAGAAGTAGTAGAGCTGACACCAATGGTGAAAAGCAAATAGAATTCTGACTCTGTGCTGCAGACCTCTCACTCACGACACTCCGTCAACTGGGTCTGCAGCGTGCACCGTGATTGTCTCCTGTAATCCTCCTGTGCTCTTTCCCAGGAATCTAAATTTGCCTGTCCTTCCAGTGCTAGGCATAGAGTGTTTGAGGCCTGTTCTCACAAGAGAGAGAGAGAGAGTGTGTGTGTGTGTGTGTTGGACACACTGACACATTTTGCAGCTGATTCTGACGGGGGCAGACCTGAGGAGACCAGCCCCTCCTTCGATGGAAGTCAGGCTGCATACCAGTGGCCCCCTGCTTCATTCGCAGTTTCCACTGCCCCATCTTGTCTCTGGCCTCTCCTGCCTTGGTGGCCTCCACACCATGCCTACATGTAGTCCTTGCTCTGCTCTGGCGAGGTGTGAGGGGTGGGGACCATGGTGTACCTCCAGGTTTTCCCTGCTGCAGTCAATGCCAAGGACCGCCTGATGGGTCCCCACGCTAGCTGGGACAGGTTTTTTTGTTATGGGGATAATAAAGGTTTTCATCAGTTAATGAGTTATGACCTGTGCACATGCAGATCAAATGTCAATGTAATAAAAGCTGCAGTGATAGTTAAAGAACTAAGCCCAAAATCTATGCCCACTAATGAAAGGTCTACCTTTTTTTGTATCTTTTTAATTCAGTTCTGCCTTCAATTTAGAAGGGGTGAAAGTTGCTTTCCATATCAGGTGTATTAGCTAGTTTATGCCAAGAAAAGGTCAGTAGCCTCCTATCTGCAAGCAGAGCGCTCTGTGCTCTGGGGAGGGGGCACTGGAAGCCATAACACGGGGTGGGCTGCCCAGCAGAAGGCTCCAGCTGGAGGGATAGGTTGTGGAGCAACCTCTCCCTACCACCCAGTCTAATGTATGGGCCATTTTGTTGAACTGGGCTCAGCATGCTTGTCCTCAAAATATCCAGACCATTGCATAGGAGATCAGGGTTCTCTGCTTGCACCCCGCCTGCACTACACATAAAAATTGCAGTTGTTAATGCCGTCAAATTAATGGGGATTGTTCACTCCGGGAAAGGAGTTAATATATGGCAAGCTTCCCTGGTACACACACAAAGGGCTTCACTACTTTTGAGCCTTGAGCTTGCTTGTGATTCTTTAATCACACACTGATTGCATGAAATCAATATGAAAGAGTGCTTCCATTAAAGTTCCTTCCAGAGAAGCCAGGATACCATTTAGTCTTCCTCTGTGATTTAGGATGAGCCGTAAAGAGCATTTGGAAACTTCTACAGCTCACTATGCATCTGCATGTTGGTGTGGGTCAGTTAGGAAATGTTCTCAAAGTGACTTCTTCAACAACTAAAGATAAACTGCCTATTCTCTGAAACCTCAAACGGAAAAGCCAGAGTTAGCTTTTCTCTCAGTCTGGTTATGTCAATCAACTCTGCTCGGAGAAGTCTTGCTGGAATGTTTATAAAACTTAGACCTAATTTCTTTACACTTTAAAGCAGACACCTTTTTCTAAAGAATTGCTTCTCAGATGATTATGTAAAATATATACGCTTTTGCAGGTTTAAAAAATTGAAACTAACCACTTTTGACTAGGTAAGTCTTTCTAGAAACTCTTTAAAGCAAACCTGGTGTTGGCATTCTGCGTGTCAAAGGGGCGGGCAGCCCCTGCAGGCTGTGTGAGCCCTCTTTCTGTCATGAAAAATAGTGGAGGGAAAATAAACTGTCTTCCACCCTTCTGCATCCTCTGAAGCAAGCTCAGTTTTTACAAATCACTTTTGTATTTCTGGTCATTGCTTAATCTACTTCCTAAACCAGCCTTGATTTTATTTCATTTTTAGAACTCTCTTCTTTTGACAAACCAAGTGTTTGTCACTATGCCCTAAGATTCACTCATTAGCACTCCTTTCTGAAGAATGTTCTACTCAGAAAAAGAGATTACTTCAGGTTTGAGATTTGCAGGGACACCACCTTATGGTGAAGATGGACATTAAGGGAACTACCTAACTCATAATGAAAGAAAGAGAAACTTTCACTTTATCATTTTTAAAAAAAATCACTGTCTTCCCATGTGCTGCCCAGGAAGCAGTGGGGGAGATGATGACTGGCATGGCTTCGCATATGGATTTTTGTGTTTTATTTGGAAAAGGATAATTTATGGCAAACTCAGAAAGGGAGGAGGTCAGTTTACACTGAAAGAAAGAAACTTTCTAAACAACATACGTGTACACAGCAAAATTAAACAAATCCAACATTTCCGAAGCTTAGTGTAATTGAGTGGCAGTTGTGATTAAATAAAATTCTTCCCCAGAGCGTCTGTCTCTCCCAAGAATGAAGATCCCATGGGTCACTTTCTGAGCCCATTCACCGAAGGTTGATGAAGACGACGTGTATACACCGTCATTCAGAAAGGTGGTAACCACTTAACGATTGTACATGCATCTCTCTCTTCAGTCTGGAGGAGAAAATGACTGTCCATAAAATTGACATTCTTCTGGGGTTTTATGTACAGGCCTGTTGGGTAATAAATGTGTGTGGTTTCTGTGAGTTGCTGACAGTCCTACATTGAAATTCTTGCCTTTTCATTTTAAGTTGGGTTTCATGGAATTTTTTTTAAGTGTCAGAAGGCATACAGTCTTCCTGCCTTCTCATCCCTTCCAGAAATATGAAAGCAAATGTTTGGAAGAACTGCTGTTTCAAAGATGTGTCGTGTCCCTTGTGAAAGTGAGTGGGTGTCGGTCTGCGCCCAAGTCCCGCGTGCTGGTGTGCAGAGCGGAGGCGCCCGGCTGGTCCCCGTTGCTGTGCGTGCCTCCCAACCTGCTCCGCGCTCCTGTTGATAGCAGACTTGCCACTCCCCTGCAGCTGTAATCCGCGTCCTGTTGTACTCACAACTCAGTGAATAAAGTCTGTGCTTTATTCCTAAACGCCTCCACGCCACACTTCCTTTCTTGTTCCCCTGCTCGCTTTGAAGGTCCACCCGGTTTGAAAAAGTGTGAGCCCAACATCCAATAACCACGGCAAACTCGGAAGCAAACCAAAGCTTCAGAGATGCGTTTTTATCACAGGCGAAGAGGGAAATGCAACAGATAGCAATATTCCAGGACTATTTGTCCAATAATTCAGACCATATTAACCAAGTTGATTAAAGAAAACATTTTGTAATAAAGCTGTTGCACTATACGGGTCTAGCTGGTGTTTGATTTTGCTGGGGACACTGAGCAGTGACAGTCTCATCGTTTAGGTAAGACTGGGGATTTGAGGAGGCCAAGAGCTCTGAACCACCAAGTGTGTTGGCCATTTTACTAAGAAACTACAGTGCAATGGGAGGAAAAACATCTTTCACACTTTGACCTCCCCTGCATTATCAAATTGCAAGTGAAAGAAATCTTCCAGATTTTGATTTGCTACTTATCTTCACTGCCAAGATTGGGGGCCTGCTAGAAAATACAAGGAGGTACTGACATTCCAGATGGCCTCCTCTAGCCGTGCCGTTCTGTGTGTGTGTATCAAGCCTGTTGTGGTCGTTTGGGCTGCCAGTTTGGGCCGCTATAACAGAAGTCCACAGACTTGAGTGGCTTGAACAACAAACATTTATTTCTTACAGTTCTCAAGGCTGGAAGGCCCGAGATCAAGATGTGGGCCATTCTGGTGTGTGGTAAGGGCTTGCTTGGGTGTGCAGGCAGCTGTCCTCTCCTGTGTCCTCACATGGTGGAAGGAGAGGCAGGAAGCTCTCTCAAGTGTCTTACTAGGGTACTAAGCCCATCCATCCTCCATGACCCTGGCAACCTAATCATCTCCTGAGGGCCCTGCCCCTTAGTGCCATCCCTCTGGGTGTTAGGATTTCAACATACACATTGGCGGAGGGGACACAAACTACAGTCCATAGCACCTGTCCAGGGGCCAGTCACACTAGCATTCACGTGGACCCTCACCTCAAAGCTGGAGATAGGTTACTCTCGAGACAGCTGGCACGTGTAGTTCACCTGTACAAAACAGGTAGGAGGCTCCAGCTGGAGGTCTGTGTTCTGTCACTTCTGCCTTCTCCAGCGCCAGCATCTCCATGTTGGTCCATAGTTAACCACAGCCAGTGTTTATGCTCAGTCCTTACCTTGAACTTGCCACTGTTGACCATTTCACTGAAAGCTGACTCTCCGCCTCCTTCCGTGGCCAGCCCTCACACACACGCAGCAGAGCTCACAAGCCTCTGTTGGGAGTCCAACCCTGCCTGACCCTCAAGGCCTCGCCCGCCCTGTAGCTTCCCCTCCCACAGCGCCCCACCTTTGAATCTTCAATTCAACCCTTCCAAAACACTGCAGATTCCCTGAACTGAACATACCGTGCCCTCTTCCCACTGCAGTTTTGCCAATGGCGTTTCTTTCTGTACAATGTCCAACTTTTCCAAGAGGCGGAGCACCATGAGGATCTGGCCCCAGGGACAGTAGGTAATGGCAACTTTATTTGTAATCAGTTGCCTGAAGCTCTTTGGAGTTACCCTGTGAATTCCCATGGGTTCCATTTGCCCTAAATCAAAGACAAGTCTCTAAGAGCTCCCTTGATGGGCCCAGCCCAGCCTGCCCCAGTAAATTCTGCGCAGGCCTGTGGTTGGCCAACACATTTGGAGCTTCTCAAGTGCTGCGAGTACTGCCAGCTCTGTGTGTGTTTCTGCTCCTCAGCTGAACTGTAGTGAGATGCTCCCTACATGGAAATCCAGGCTTTGTGAACCGTGTCCCTCATGACAGCCCTACCAGATGGATAATTGCTGCTCCACTGTACAGGTGAAGAGACCACAACCCAGCGGCTAATTATACATAATCACTCAGCCAGGGAACATCAGAGCTGGGATTGCCCAGTTCTGTCCCATTTCAAATCCCATTTATTTTCCTCCACATCCCACTGCCTGTGGCCTTCTGAAGGCAAGGACTGTATCTCCCTCTTTCTAAATCCCCCAGGGCGCCCTGCCCAGAGTGGGTTCTCAGTGTGGAACTGGCCAGTTCCCTTCATGTGGCCATGAGCCCTGTTACTACCACCTAGGTACCAGCTGTGAACAATGGTTAGGGGGTACTTACTAGCTGTGTGTCGTAGGGTCAGTTATTTAGCCTCTGTAGGCCTCAGTTTGTTCATCTGCAAAACAGACAAAATATTACAGGAGATGGTTGCTAAATAATAAACCATGCTAAGCACCACACAGGACCCAGCACATAATTCCTGACGAGGAATTAACCACTTAGACTTGAAGAACCCTGTAAACTCTGAGCCTCAGCTTCCTCATCAGTGAGTTAAATACCTGGTCTGACTATCTTACGGGGCTGTGAGGCCAGACGAGGTAAGGGTGGGAGCTCAGAGACAGGAAAGCGTTATGTCAACAGCTGGTAGTAGGAAATGAGGGTTTCTTGGTAGTATTTTAAACAGTTTAAAGAACTTTAGCTTTTGTTCTGGGATATTCCACTACCTCCCCCCAACCCCTAGTCTTTATATGAATACTCCAGCATTAAAACAAGCCCACAACTTCTTTTATATGCTTCAATAACAACCTTTTCTTTGTCCAGTAATATACTAAGATAGAAATTCTCTGAATAGTTGCCAATAGTTAAGGATCGAAAAGTCCATAGCGGTTGAGTACAGGCTACATGGTCAAACTGCCTGGATTTTCATTCCAGCTCCACCAGTAATTATCTGTTTAGGGACAATTTGCTTAATGTCTCTAAGTGTCAATTTCCATTTCTATAAAATAGGAATAACAATAATACCTACCCCAAATAGTTATTGTGAGAATCACTTAGAACAAGACGTGGCATAATACAAAATGAACACTCAGGCGTAAGCTTTCATGAACAAAGTTGCTGCCGTGTAGTAAGGACTTAGCCCTGGCCCAGTCCTGAGCTCAGCATACTCATACTTCATTTCATAGCGCTCCTTAAGCCAGCCCTCCACCCCCAGCTCCCCAGCTAAAAGCTCAGCATGTGGACAAATGTCATGAAAGGAAGGACTTGAGTGTCCCCACAACGCTAGCCAGCCAGGGTGGCAGGCTGCTCAAAATGGAAGCATCCATACGTGCCAGCTTGGGGCTCAGCTCTTCAGAGGCGTTTTAGAGCTGTTGGGCCCCAGGTTCCTGGGTGGGGAGGATTTCCCTAGCCTGCTTGAGGTTTGCTTAGAAACACCACATGCAGAAAGAGCTGAGACTCCATGAAAGATGGCCTTGGTTCCAGAAAGATCTTCCCAATTGTATTACTTCAAAACAAAGTCAGCAAAGGCTGAGCTGCCAATCCTCACAGAATCCGAGGACATTTCCTTAGTTCCAGGGAGCCACCAGTCCTGCTCAGCCCCTCCTGTCCATCCCTGGGGGGTTCCTCCTCCCCATAAAGCCAAACAGCCTTGTCTGGCTGTGTCACCAACCCTGCCCTGCTGGCCATGCCCATTGTTGGCCGGAAAGCCTTGGGAAGGGTGGAGACTTGGTGCTGGCAGCTTTTGAGCAAGCCCAGGGTGGTCAGAGGATCAGTGCCCAAAGCTTCTGGGAATCCCAACTCCAGACTGGAGGACCTGCCTCCACGCCCTGACCTCCCTTCTCCCAGATAAGGCCAGGACTCTGACCAAAATGGCCCCTTCCCCTCCTAGAGCCCTCAGGGGAGGGCCGTAGTGAATCCAGCTCTGAAGAAGGGTCTAATATGACCACATTTATTTTACTTTCCAATCTCAACTGGATAAAAATGCTCTCCAGGGCCTGCCATTTCTGCCATTGTACTAAGCACAATAGCAGCCCCTGGGGAGGCTTTTCTGTATTTATATGCACTGTCCCCCTGCTGCTACCTCTTAACTCAACCCTTCCCATCAGATAAAAAGAAAAGTTGGCTTGGGAAAACTTGTCCTTCAAAGCAGAGGCTGTTTCTGCTTTGCCCTTAGCTTGTGTCAGTGGCGGGCCCTCCCAGAACATCCCCAAGGGCCTGAAGGCAGGGCAGAGCCTGGGTGGCTTCCAGACTCAGCCTGGGAATCAGGCTGGAGGGTACTGAGTCCAGATGAGAAGGAAAGGATGACTGGTGGTGCTATGATGACAGCAGCTAACATTGTCTGAGGCCTCCGTGTGCTTGGTATGGGGTAAAGTACTTTTCTACAGATTACTGTGCTTAATCTGCAAAGCAAAAACCCAGGACAGAGGGGCCCACCGGCAAGCAGGTAGGATTCTAGCCCCCTCCCATAAAGTCCAAGAGCCACATTCCTCCTGAGGCTGTCACAGCCATCTGGGGTCTCCATGTGAGCATGCAGTTTTCTAAGCCTTGCCCAGAGGACCGTCCTTGCAAAGACAAATGCCAGCCTTTCTTGGCAAGGTGGAGTCTGGCCATGAATAACATTTTGTTCTAAACTGGACGGATGCTGGCACAGAAAGAGTAGGTTCTTTCGTTCCTGCTATTGTCTGAAAACATACGCTTCAAAGTTAGAAAATGTCGATGGCATTTCCCTTCAGAAGTGCCTCCTTGTGTCTCTTGTGTCAATGGCTATTCCCTTCAGATAGGAGCAAGGTTCAGCTGGATTCTCCTGGTTACAAAAAAAAAAAAAAAAGAACAATTACTCTTCTCCTCCACCTAAAAACAAACTGTTTTGGGCAACTCAGAGTAAATTGCTGGTATTTGTTAATCATTCATCAAATGGCTTCCACTGGATGCAGGCGCTTTCATACGCTTCACCTCTGATCTCTGCCAGCAACCTTGTCACCCCTCGATGTACGATCAGAGGCCGCCTGACTTGTCCAAGCCCGCACGGAGAGTTTGGGGTGGAGGCAAGCAGATCTGGACCCAGGCCTAACTGTAAAGCTCAGGCTTCGGTTCATAGGAGATTCTGATTCCGCAGTTCTAGGCTGGGAGCTGGGAAGCTGTCTCTTAAAACAAAATTTTAAAGCTTCCAGATGATTCTGATGATCAGCCAAATCTGGGAA